AGTGGTAACGAAAAGCGATATGTTTCACAGGAGAGTGGTATTCGGGGCTTTCGTAACGGCGCTCTGTTTGTCTGCATGGATAATGCTCGGGAAGGATTGTCATCACGGACATTTTTAACGGATTAGGGTGGATACCATCCATCGGGCGATTCCATCCCGTCGAACGTTGATAGGACAGCTCAACTGGTTGAAGAAGACGAGGCCACATATCACTGCGCGAGAAATCCGAGCAGATGTTCTCGAAACTGGTGTCGTGGGATTTTGAGAGCGCTGGAAAAATTCGGTTGGATGTGTTGGAGGGAATTTGTTCAGAGGGTAATCCTTGTCTTTCTCGGCGAAATGCTGTTTGAGACTGTGCACGGCATCATCGACGATCGCGCATCGGATATAAGGCATATTTGACGACATCACGTACACGATGGATGTCAGCAGGGCGCTGGGCGACGCGTTTGGCGGGAGTAATAAGGGCAAACGAAGATTATGCCCGGATTCCAGTTGATCGAATGTTCGTTTCTTTGCGATTCAAATGCTCTTCTGTATCTCTGTCTGGAGCGTGGCATTGTCATCGTATAAGGACGGTGAAATTTCAACGAGCGCTTTTTTTTTCGAGTCCGCGAGACAACGAAATTGTGGAGTTTTGAGCCCGTCTCATACGTTATTTCGTTAGCCTTGTTCATGTGTAAATCGAAGGAATCTTGTTGCTAGAAAATGTCGTTCTCACCTGTGTTTGCTGTGCTGGCTCGGCATGGAAAGAAAGACTCCAGGTGGATTTAGTTGTATACTTGACAACAGCAACTGCGTATAATCATCAGCGTTTCCCCTGCGGCAATGTCTCTTCCAGGGAAAGGTGTTCTTACATTGTTGTTGTGGCGCGCTATCCACCACAAGTAAAATGAGAATGGATGTAAAAGTAGCAATGTATCTCCAGAGTGAGAGCCCCTTGTGTGTGTCGGGCCACCGAAGATATTAGCCCATGCAAGCATCTCTTGTTTCTCGCTGCCTTGGATGGAAGATGATATTCTTGCTCCAGGTCACGGGGAAGTGACACTCCCAGCCATCCGAAGACGCAGGCGGGTTGGTTTTCGACGTTGAAAGCTGCGTTGTGACCTGACCAGAACGCAGGCATGACCAGAGTTTGTAGAGTGGGTGGCACTTTTTATATCGAAAGTATATCGGGAAAGGCTGACAGGCCCAGAATGTCTTTGCTGGGGAACGACGATCTCATCAACCTGTTTGAGTTCAGTAGTGATTAAGGTATTATATTCAGATCGACCATTGCCGGTCCAACGCTGGGGATGTTCACAGGTCTGATGTTGCCGGCCTTGTTGTGCTTCATCTGTTACGAGTACCACCCGCCCTCCCTCTTCTCGTAACAGATGTGTAAAGCTGTTGCATGTCGGTTGTCGATTAAACAATACATGTCTGAGTGATGATGGACGTCCTTTCGACTGCGAAAGATTGTCGGATCTGGATCTGGGTACAGTCGATGCCCCTTCAATCGAGCTGACCGAGGTGGAAGCAGAGACCCGAATTCAAGGAGCAAGGATCAGAGTCCCGCGGAGAAGATATGGATATGTCATCATCGTGATAGAAATCATCGTTTTCAGCAGCTCCGCGCATGGCGGCTAAACGGCTTAATATCCACTGCATCGAAGGTCCCAGGTCAGATAGCTCTTGGAGATGGAAGCCCGAATCGTCTGTCACATCAGGGAGGAGACAGACGACTTGGTTTGCTCTGTTCCCTGCTAATGCCGGCTGCATCTGGGTCGATATGATTCCGGCTTCTCGGAGATGGGCCTCAATGTTGCATGAATGGAGAGCGCATAAGGGCCGGAGATTGAAGATTGAGTTGTCTGAAATATTGGAGCGGATGGGATGTCGGGAGTTAGAAGGGCCCCAGGCATGAAGTGCCTTGCGAGGGTCACGCCAGGTTGGACTCTGTGACAACGAATTGAGTAATAAGGCGAGTTCGTTGTCCCATATATAGTTTGTTGTCCCGGCACCATGAGAATCGTATGCGATGATCACGATGCCGGACCTCTTGAATATCTGGTATTAATAGGGCTCTGTAATTCACCTCGCAGAGGAGCGAGAAGAACGCTGTTCGTTAACGGAGTCCCCATCCTCAACTGCGATCCCATGAACGAGATGATTGGGACGCTGTGGATGGCTCGTTAGAACTTTCGAGCTGGATGGAGAAGCGAGTACCGAGCTGACCCATGTTTGATACAACCTTCGTTACCAAGCTGTGCTTTGACGCGCGGTCCAGATCGGAGATGTTATGGCTGTTGCCAATGTCGCAATACGTCCATTTTCTGTCGACTGCCGAAGACCACGTTTGTTGTCGACCCTGACAAGACGAATGATACAGTCGATTGAGGAAATCAAGTGTGGAGTTAGAACCACGGAGATGAAGTTGGGGCTGGCTGAACCACCATCAAGCAGACAGACATGATGGTATGGGTGGAGAAGAAGTTTGGTCACGTTGAATCATATATATAATATGATGGACCGTGGAGCAAGGAATCTTTGTGGTCGCTCCGAAACGCGAGCTTGCCGGAGGGATTTCATCGACAGCTCATTGTCCATGGAGGAAGATGGCATGCAAGGCATGGCGATGGTGACAAGACGCATGCCATGGAAATTGAAAAGGGCCAGCTCGGTTTCTGGCAGTTACGGTCCTCCCTGGAGGTCGTGACCATTCAATTGACTGCATGGAGGTGGGAGACAGCCTAGGTAAACATGCAGGACTGCCGCACACGGACTCCGAATTTGGCTCGATGGAGATAAAATCTCTTTCGAACAACCCATGTTAGAAGCGGTGTTTGGGTGTTGTCAAGCAGGATGTACCTTCCTCGCTTTTTCTTTTCCTGTGGGAGGATGGGAGCTTGCTAATTCCCTGTCCAAGATGTGGAGGAGTCCGCGTGTGAAGGCCAAGGACATGTCCCAGGAACCATGTATTCTGCCACGATAGTTCGTCTTGAGTCTCCACGCGTAGACGGTGTGGCTGGGACGTGTCAATGCCGCTGAAAGAGAAGGAAGAATCACTGGCAATCGAACTTAGCCATAGACCCTGACCCACAGCAGATGTTAGGACCACTGGGAGAACATAAATATGAAATATGAAAGATATCGTGACGGTGGAATCGCGTTCTCCCCGACGACGATCGAGGTAGATGGTGTAGACGATGTTGCCATATTCCCTTCGACGCCCACAAAGGAATTGGTGGTAGCGCGAAGACCCTCAACGAAGGACGGTTTGGGACGGAAGGATGCAGAACGGAAGGCTAACAGGAGGCTGACGGGAGCCAGCCAGACAAACAAACAAGTAGCCATGTCAATATACGTTGTGTTTGAAAAAAGGAGGCTGGCGGTTCTCTCTGCATCACTTTGTCTCTAGGCAACGGAGAAATAACGCGTTAGTAACGCGAAAGTGACGCCTTCATGAGGACGAAGAAGGAAAAGGAGGTGGCGACATACCTGGTTTACCCATTTTGGAAATCCCGTAGCTTGCCGGCAGGGTTTGTCTTGTCATGTGACACACCCCGTGATATCACATGTCCGGACGAGATTCACGCTGACCTCTTTTCCTTGTTAGCATCAGACAGACCTCACTCCTCAGACCACTTTGCTACTTACGCATCCTGTCAAGTCGCCAGAAAGTGATATCTATCTGGCCTACACCCGAGACATGCCAGCAGAACCAGGAGGATGCTTACATGTTGCCTGCAGTTCTGCTGCCATCCTCCTCGATGTTGATGGCAACATAAACAAACACTTGAAGCATCTCACGGGTAAGTGACACCTATCCGAGGTTAGAGTGAGACATGCCAACAAGAAACAGAAATGATACACATACTCCGCAGCGTGAATCCCTATGTGTCAGACCGAGACGATGGGAGTAACATGAAAAGCCCGAAGCATTTGGGGGCTTCAAAATTCAGCTTTGCTCCAGAGCTCCATGTACCGTGTAATGAAGAAATACGCGCCATCCGAAGGCAGCGGTCGTTTCGTGAGTGACTGCCTATCGAAGACAGAGTCGTGAGTCGATCCGTTCTTTCACGGGAGTTTTCTGCAGATGCCATCGCAAATCGAGAGTTTTTTCTTCTGTGGATCGCGCTTCGACAGGAAGAATCGAAGGGGTATCTGTGCCTATCCAACATGGGACTGAGACATGCCAGTGCCGAACCGGATGCATTCTGCCAGCGCTATGTCGCCATTTATTTCTTCACGGGTGTCTCCGAAAAACACATGAAGCATGTCAGGGCTAAGTGACCTCTATCCAATGTGAGCATGAGACTTGAATGAAAGAAACGGTCGATACATACCCCGCAATAACCTCACCAGTGTGAAATATTGGAACTGATCCATTGTCGCACAGCGCGTCCTGAGAGGAATTACATCATCATCCTCGACCCGAAGCAATCGCCCAGCTCCTCACTCCAAGGCTTCTTCGTCTGGGCATGCTTGCGAGAATATTTGATCTCGATTGCTGCATGAAAGACACGGATCTTGGCCCAAGCAACACTGGGTTCTGTCAAGAATATCGTGATTGTTGACCGGACATGATTGTGTTCTAGATTTGTCTGCTTCTCAAGAATCGCCCGATATCATTTGCTTCAGGGTATGGCCTCGTGTCTGTATCGAATCTCTCTTCCATCTTCAACCAGAACCAATCGACGAGTTTCTAACTCCAGAATTCCTCCAACTTGGAACAGTTTCCAGTCTTGTTTGCTGCGGAGCAATATCTGAGGTTGATTCATGAACGATGTGCGCTGTGTGGAACGTCTTCATCAGCCGAGCGGAACCATTGCCCACTCCTAGTTCCAGTACCCGTCCATGCGGTACATCATCGAGAATGCCACGGTCGCAGGGTGCGATGAACGATGTGCGCTGCGGGGGATGTCTCAGGGACAAGGAAGAGGTATTCGGCGTTGTTCTGTTCTTCCTTCAAAGCGTTCTCGAAAATGCCAGGGCCGGAGAGTGTGGTCTCATGTCAATTAACGGGGCGCGCCCTGCAGAACGTCTTCGTCATCCTCCATCTTTTCATGTTGTTCTTCTTCTTCCACTAAAACGTTCTCTGCACGATGTGGCGTTGGCAATGAGCAATGGACGCCGTATTGGAACTCTCTGTGGCCATGGATAACACCTGGACCATCTTCTTGATTTGGGATTTGACCGGACGCCTTGTCGAATATTCCTAAGCTCGACGGTGTGGCACACAAGGCTTGGGAATTGGCCCACGTACAATTGGTTCCGTGAGAAACATCCTGGTTGTCGGGGAAGAATCCTGTAATCTCATCAGGATGGGCATGTTCCACCGGACGCTTTGTTGATGCGCAGAAGCGCACAGAGCCGGGAAGTCGGTCCATTTGTGCACAATTGGTTCCGTAAGAAACATCATGGTCGTCGGGGAAGAATTTTCAGAGACCTCCTCCTGGAAGGACTTCTTCGACCGGACATCTTGTCAAGAATCCCTGATGCTCTTTCGTGGTGGCGTAAGGTGTGGATGTTTGTCCATACATTGAAGGATCAGCCTGATCAGAGACATGCGCTGCCTCATCCTGATGGTCGAGCCGGAGCGATAAGCTTTGGTCTTGTTTAGGATCCATGGTCATCATGTCTGCTGCAGGGTAAAACCTGAAAGTTGGTCCCACAGAACGAACGATGGGCTCGGTCAGGAACATTTTAACGGTCGTCGTGATTATCGACCCGGAACGATCGGCCAACTCCTCGCTCCATGGAGTCCCTGACGGAGCATGGTGTAATGACTCGTGTTGGGTTTGACGCATGGAAGACGCTTCATGTCAGTGAAAGAGGATTGGTCAGGGATGCTGACTGAATAATGGTGTGGTCCTCCATACGGATCTCGTAAAGAGGCCCTTCCACCGCGTCGTGATGCGGGTTCCATCGGGCAGCTGCTCCAGACCATAGCACAAAGTGGATACCGTCAAATCATCCATTTCTTCCTTCATCGTGCGATGTTGACCTAAAATGACCACCAGCTCGTCCGGTGGAGACATCGCCGACAACAACCGAATGCTATCTGGAGACGTCCCATTTTTATCTGCCGCGCGGCATGCCTCGCAGCGGTTGGTCCATAAAAAACTGCGCCCTGAAGTCTTTTCGAAAGGATGGTCCCCAGGACGATCGGGTTTTTGAGGATCGTTCTTTTCCCGTCTTCATCATCGACGAAGTCTGCCCGTTTTCTCGAGTTTTCCTGCATGGTGGGCAGTGGGCTTAAGACATGCCACACAGAGGATGTTACAAAGAATCATGGGCTTGAAATCCTTGCGAAATGTGGTCCCGAGGACAATGGGTTTTTGAGGATCGTCCTATCTGTCGTCGTCACCGTCAACCCCGGCACGAGCACTAACTTCGATCCAGACGTTATCGACAAAGACTGACTGGGGTCCTTTTGTAAGACCAGCCTCATCCTTGGCCTGAGAATGTATAGAACCACACATGGATTGCCCGGTAATCATGATAGGAATGTTAACAAAAGCCAGGCCCGCAAATGCATCAGGAGTCGCGGGTGTGTCATCTGCCACCAGGAGGTTGTGCCACGGGATAATAAGTTTCGTCGTGTCATGATCGTCAACCCGGAACGACGGTCCAGCTTTTCTGCGCGAGTCCAGAATCCTCGCCAATCACTGGTCGTTTGTGCGAGATTCCCATATTGCGTCAGCTTCGCGATGTCTTTGACAGAAGTAACCCTAAAGGATGGTGGAGCAATCGCGCAAAGCCAGCACTCAGGATCATCCAGAAGCCACAAACATGTCATCTGGTGCCAGGTTGAGACTTCCCAGTTGTCCCACAAGATAATAGGTTCAGTCGCGTCATGATCATCCATCCGGAACGAACATCCAGCTTCTTTTCTCGAGGTCCACATCATTGCAAGGAGCTGTCGATTGCGCGAGACACCCACATTTCGTCGGCTTCACGACGCACTTCACCCAGGTGAACCCAAAGGATGGTGAACATTGCTGGACGGAGCCGAGAACGAAGGTTCTCTATCGCACAGAGACCTGTATTTGGTCTCGCATTTGGAGAGGGTGGAGAATCCAAGTTGTTCCACAGGACAATGGGATGAGTTGGGATTCCAATGTCGTCCTCATCTTGAAATCTGCCGTGGCAGTTTTTTGTCCAGCAACCATCAAAATGGGCTGGACACTTTCTCGAGAGCAAGATCATCGGAAACCTCCGCTGTCCTTAAGAGCTAGAAGATGGTCCATCGGACGATTGATGCTGTCAAGAACATGGTGATATTTGACCAACTAGAGCATCCAGCACATTTGCTCGAGTTCATCCGGCGTCGATAATGGCCAGGCACTTTCTCGATGCTTTCCGATGTTATTTGCCGCAGCATCACTTGTGACCGATGGTCCATGGCCCATAGACAGCCCTAGTCTGGAACAATGTCGACAGAGAACCATCGCCCTGGTTTCTCATCCATCCGGGCACTTTCTCGGAAGATCTTCCGAGCTGGAAAAGAAAGATAAAGGAGGTCGACAAGGTCACGTTGCTTTGTTTAGGGCAAGACTGTGATGTCGGTGGTGATTCATCGAATTTGAACAATGAAGATCATGGAGTCTGGACCATAAAGGTCATAGAGTCTGGACCATGAAGATCATGGAATCTGAACCATGAAGATCATGGAGGATAATCGAAGCAAGCAACTAAGGCAGATGGTGATGCAAAGGTAGCGACACATCGAGCAGGACAGAGACATCATCCTGGCCAATGGGGATGGCGCAAATGAGGTAAGGTGATCCAAGATGCAAAGAAAGATGAAGGAACTGACGATGTCATGTCGGGTTGATGGCTGCAGGACACGAGGTGTAGGCCGGAGGAGCTTGTTCGCAGGTCTGATCCGACCGGGGAAGGCGACGCAAGAAAACGAAGACCTTCGAGCACCAACAGATAATTATGTACCAGCATACAGGTTTGACTGACCAGGTTGAGTACACAATGTAAGGTGCTCGGCGTTTCCGGATTATTCATCATCGGAAGTTTGATGCAGTCGAGGATGACCCACGAAAAGACAACAGACGGCCTTCGAGCAAGGACAGAAACAGAGAACCACCATATGGGGGTTCACGAGCACCACGTTGTCCGGAATTGATTTGGGACGAGAAAGGTCCCGAAAGGTCACCCAGTAAGGAAAGAAAGATAAAGAAGGTGACGACGTCACGTCGTGTTTGCTTTCTCCAAGGCATGATCTCGTTGCTAGAGGCCCGAATCTGCGAGGTGTCGAAACAGATATTCTTCCAGTTTGGAAAAGGTAGATGCCAACAATGTCGTCCTGTATGGACTTGCTTTAGGGCAAGACCGGACAGATACTCGGGAAGCGCTGATCGATCGACCAGGTCTGATTGTTCAAATTAGCCACATGACTCGGGACGCGATCGAGGACTGATGATGTCGATACATACCTAACATTATAATCGCTTCAGAGGAACATGACGGGAGATCGTCCAAGGAAGCAGCAACGCAGGAACATGCGTTGCAAGCCATGAGACCGTTCATGCGGGCCTCGGCATCAACGAGGCCTCGGTAGACTCAGCACGATAACGGTAAGATGCTCCAAGCAGGAAGAGAGATCGAGAAGTCAAGAGTATCATCTTGTGTTTGGCTGCGGTGGAAGGGCTTGAAAGGCTCCGGAGATTCTTCCGGAGAAGCTCCGTCGTGTTGCTTGTTCAAGTCAGCGAAGTCGATCGACAAGATTGACGTCGGTACATACCTGAGAGATGATAGTTGCCTCATCAAATCTGGACGAGGAGGATGATAAAGGAAATCATCCAAGCCAGCAAAGGGAGATAACTTGGTATCTAATGGCGGGAGGTGCACGCCAGCACCGTCGCTAACCAGAGCTGTATCCGGAGAGATAACCCAAGCAAGCAGCAAAGAAAGATGAAGAAGCCCAGTACTGCGGGAAAACGCCTGGTCGTCGAAGGGGACTGTCGCTGGCCTGATTGTCCGAGTTAGCGACATGACTCAGATATTGGTCAAAGACGGACGTCGATACATACCTGCATGTTGATCTTCCCATCACGCGTGGATGTGGAGAGAAGGTAACGGAAGATGACCGAGGCCAGCAAAGTGATGGGTTATTGGTCGACATTGTTCGTCGAGGCCAACCAGCCCTGACATTGGGAGATGATCCAAGAAGCAAAGAAGAAAGAAAGATGAAGCGCAGGTCAGTGAGTTTGCTCCGGTTTAGCACTTCGGAAAACCAGGACAAGGACAGAGTGAGATGGTTGACACGAAGTGCGACTGGAATGATGACTCGATGTCCTCCAAGCAAGAAGAAAAGAGTGATACTATGTATCAGGATGACAGGTTGTATTATGTATACATATATTTATATGAATATATGTATGTATAATACATCAGGTCTGACGGGAGGATGAACGGAAACCAACGTTGAGGTAACGTAACAATGAGACCATGAAGCATGAACCTTGAAGCCTGAAGCTTGGATGACAGAGATTGAACATGAAGCTTGAAGGCTTAAAGATTGAAAGCATCAAGCTTGATGGATAAGAAAGGATGAAGGATCAAGCATAAAACATGAACCTTGCACCCCGAAGCTTGAAAAATTTTGGATTTCGTGAACAGATTTTGGTCAAGAAGGGAGAGAAGAGATTTTTACAGAAGAGAAAGCAAGAGCAGCTCGAGAGGGGGGAAGGAGGGCTATTTATGCTCGCTCTGGAGGCCTACAGATGAAGCTATTCCCTTAGTTACGCAGCCGTGCACTAAGAACCGGCAATTTCCCTGGCAGGTGGTGAATGAGGGCGGCAAATTCCGGCAGAAACAGTGAATCACGTGCCAGGCAGATTATCCAGGAATCTGTCGGCATGAAATGAGAGATGTTGGCGTTACGATGGGCGTGGGAATACGTGAGTTCTGACGGCTATATGTTCATGAAATGAGGTATACATGCGGCACGGTGAGAGACTACTGACGGTTTGGCAGAAATTTGGCTGGGGGAGTAGGCGGTGAGATATCACGGACCATGGCCTCACATTATGTTTCAGCACAGAACATCTGTACAGGCATGATCCTCCTTTATCGGGCTACACATCAGCTTCATTTTCTTCATTTTGGGAAGACCACGCCAAGGAGTGAGCGCAGCCAGGAAAGCAGTGAACGAGAGGCGCAGCCGCTCACTAGCTCAGAAACTCTCTCAGTGAACGGCAGATCCCAGGGAATGCTGCGTACTGTCGCAGCGCGTAATGGGAGGCAAAAATACGGCAAGCAGCCATGCAGCAAGCTGGAGATGGATGTCCCTAGGGGAAGAACCTTTGCCAGCAGGAACCCTGTATAGCGCTGTCTCTACGCTTGTGCAGAGCAATTCTGTACTTCAATATTAAATGTATACAAGTCCGACCGACGTGATTGGACAGCCATGGATCGGAGGCAGTCCGAGGAGCCTCCATTGGCCAGGAAGAGGAGCAATGCGCTGCCAGGAACGATGAGAATTGCTGGAGCAGCAGTCCAGGCGATATCCTTGAGAGAGTCGCAATTATGGCCTATATATCCGGATCTAATCGCTGAAAGAGACGCCTTTGCGCCGTCCAGATCCATAAACGGACTGCAAGAGCGCATATCTGGCATCGGATAACCCGCCGAGGATCAGGGCCATCGGTCCCACCACGCACCCCGCAATCGGGATATCTCAGTGCGAGAGGGGGAGGAGAGAGAGCAGTAATAAAATCATAATAATGACGGGGTGCTGCTAGATCTTATTTGGGCTTTTTCTTCTTTACTAACCGTCATCAAGTTCGCTGCTACTGTTTCCTCTCGATTTGATCCGAGTAGATTATTATTACATACAGCGGCGGCCTTGCTTTGACTGACTACAAAACCCTCCATCTCGCATCGCAGAAACCATCACAATGCAAGCTGCCAACCGGCTTCTGCAAGCGCTGCGCACCGGCAGCGGCGTCTCGTTCGGGGCCTGGCAGATGCTGCCGGGCGCCAACCACGCCCGATTCATGGCTCGCAGCGGCTATGACTGGATCTGCGTTGATACAGAGCACGGGAACATTGCCGGTGAGAAACAAGCAAGAGGCAATGAAGAGTGTGCGACCTGCTGATCGGAAATGCAAATGTCTGCAGACTGGCAGATGCACGAGGCTGTGGCGGCCATTGCGGCATGCGGCGTCAGTCCCATTGTTCGAATCGCGGCCAATGAGGCCTGGATGGTCAAGCGTGCGTCTTCTACCAGCGGAAGCATCCTTATATTTGATATATTATTCTTCAAGCTAATAATGGTGATGCAGGGGCCCTCGACACCGGCGCCCACGGCATCGTCGTTCCTCTGCTGTACACCGCCGACGACGCCAGGAAACTGGTCGAATCCGCGAAATTCCCGCCCGCAGGACGGAGAGGCTTTGGAAGCCCGTTCGCCATGGGCCCGACGGGCGGTGTTTCGCAGTTCGAATATCTGCAGACGGCCAATGATTCTCTCCTGACGATCGTGCAGATCGAGACCAAGGAGGCGCTGGAGAATGTAAGTCGAGAACAGCCGCATACATATTGCGCGAATGGCCAATTGACGACGGTCCACACAGGTCGAGGAGATCGCCAAGGTCCCTGGCATCGATGTCCTCTTCGTCGGACCCTGGGATCTAGGGAACAACATCGGCCGGCCGGTGCAGGGCGAGTTCCACGAGGACCTGAACGCGGCCATCGAGCGCATCCGCAAGGCGGCCGTCGACAATGGCAAGAAGGCAGGAATCTACTGTGTGGGCGGAGAGGCTGCCCGGAAATACGCCGAACAGGGCTTCCACATGGTTTGTCTGCTCTTCTTTTTGCGTCTCTGGTGACATTGCTAATGTGCTGTACTGCAGATCTCTGTCGTTGCTGATGCTGTCGCTCTGCCAACCTTCCTCTCCAACGCATTGGAGACGGCCAAAGGGGGGAAGAGCGGAGCTGCTGTGCCTACGTACTAGTCGAAGCACGATTACATGATACCTGGTATATAGCTAGCACAGGAGATATGTTACAGATGGAATATAATATGCAAAAAAAATTCGTCACCCACGAGACAGACAGCTATGACTCGGCTTCATCGACCAATTTCTCAACCTCTTGCTCCGTAAACCTATGGAATAATTTCCGCGGTTCCGACCCTCCTGGCGTGTCAACGTGGAGAACCGGGACATCGAACTCGTACACATCCTTCCACTGCTGGTTCCCCGGAGCCATAATGTCCACCTCCGCGTAGTCGAACGGCCGGCGCTGGCGCAGCTTCGACACGGTCAGCTTGGCCGTGTCGCAGAGCCCGCAGTGGGCGCGGGTAAACAGCGTCAGCCGGGCAGCATGGGGGCCCAGCAGGGCTCTCGTAAAAAACATCGAAGGGTATGAAACGAGCGGTATCGCGTATTAATGGGTGAATTGGCGGAATTCGCTGAGTGAAGGGCCTGGTGAATGGATTCTCTCCTCTCGAGTGATTCTCGGGTGAATTGACTCCTCTGAAGTGACTGCCTGGGTGAATTCTCTCTCGCTTAGACGGCTCAGTGACTCGATTGGCGTGATGGAACGGCAGCGAGTGAAGGAATCCAGGCGCAAGCACCTGGCAGCCAGAGCTGGGTATACAGAAGAAGCAGAGTTGAAGGGGTCGCCCGATGCGCCTCCTATGGAACCTTCGAGTTCTGCGCACTAACCCGATCGGGCAGCGAGGATGGCGGGCAGCCGAGGGGAAGCTCCGGAGGCAGGACAAAGGTCGCCATTCTATAAATTTCCATCTTTTGGCGTCGAGAGCTGCCTTGTAGCCAGCTGTTCTCGTGCCTGTTCCGCGACGCGATCCTTTCGTCTGCTAACCCACCGCGATGGCGGCCAAGTGCGTTCACAAGGGCTGTGGAAAGATCTTCACCGATCCGGACGAGGAGTGCATCTACCACCCGGGCCCGCCAATCTTCCATGAGGGGCAGAAGGGTAGCATTCCCTAGTGAAGATGACCGGTGAAGATTCGGAGTCTAATGTCGATTTGCTTCACAGGCTGGAAATGCTGCAAGCCGCGCGTGCTGACCTTTGACGAATTCCTCAAAATCCCGCCCTGCACCACGGGGAAGCACTCGACCGTCGATGACACGCCGCAAGAAGAACCCAAGGGGGCCGATGCTGCAGCTGCAGCGCCCCCTGTGGAAGAACCTCCCGCGCCCAAAGTGACGCCAGTTGCTACGTCCGCTGCCGGCAACGCACCGCAGCCTCCTGCGGCACCCGCCGTCTCCGCTCCAGCCAGCACGCCGGCTCCCGCGCCGCCAGAGGAGCCAGACTCGGACGACCCTGACCTCGAGATCCCCGCGAACGCGACCTGCAAACGGCGCGGATGCAAAGCTGTCTACGATCCGAATATCTCGCGAGACGACGAGAAGTGCCAGCACCACCCGGGACAGCCCATCTTCCACGAGGGCAGCAAAGGATGGTCCTGCTGCAAGCGCCGGGTGCTGGAGTTTGAGGAGTTTATGAAGATCCCCGGCTGCAAGGAGAAGACACGGCATCTGTTTGTGGGGAAGAAGAAGCCGGAGGGGGAGGAGATACTGGAAGATGTCCGGTACGTTTCTGTCGATCCGACTACTTCCCAGCGTTTACGACAAATCTAACGACATGCTTCTCCAGGAGCGACTTCTACCAAACCGCAACCACGATCAACGCCTCCCTCTACCTGAAGAAGATCGACAAGGAAAAGGCCAAGGTCACCTTCACCGCGAAGACGGTCGAGTTCGACCTCCCCACGACGGACAACAAGCGGTTCACCAAGACGTACAACCTGTACGCGCCGATCGACCCGGAGAACTCGCAGTACTTCGTGCTGGGCTCGAAGCTGGAGCTGAAGCTGGTCAAGGCGGACGGCACGAGCTGGCCGGTGCTGCGGAGTGACGACAAATGGACGGGAGAGCGGATTCAGGTTGGACGGGCAGGACGGGTTTAAGGGTAGTTAAAACATACGGCATTGTTTTGGGGATAGGTATCGTTACTACTATGGGGAACAGGAGTTTTTCGTCTGGTTTGGTTTCGAGGAATCTCATACTCTCATACCCTAGGAAGCAAGCAAATGCAGTGCGAATTGGGGGAGGCGTAGTTATATGACGAGACGACTACTATAGACCCTACAGTTCGGGAAAATATTTTCATTTTGACGATTACCTACGTATTCTGCTATTATACAGAAACACAGCCAAAACAAGGTAGAATGGTGAAAAGTATTTCACGTCTCCTCCATAGCTAAAGCGCATGGGAAGCCTCACACAGCGAGGCCCTAGCCCAGCCATACAAGGTGGGGAGAAAACGAAGACGCAATTGCTCTCCGAAGCTGGGAACGGAAGGAAATCCACGAAGGAAAAAAAAGGAAAAGAATAACCCTCAGCCGCTGTTGCGGAGCTCCGGTGTTGTTTACATCTTGGTCAATGTAAACCCTACTGATGATGGGGAAAGGAAAAGAAAAAGAAGAGAGAAGACGAAAAGCGCGGTGGGCGGCGTTTTATGCGCGGGTCGGCTGCGCTGGCCGGGGCTAGCATGCTTTGGGACTAGCGTGGCTGCTTCCTAAGATGGAAAGATGTGGGGGCGTGAAGAGGGTTAGGGCTTCGCGGGCACGTGGTTCCGGTCACATGAGGCCCCACAAATCACATGCGCGCCGGCAGCAGGCTCGGAGTCTCCATATGGTGTCAGGCAACGCCAGAAGCAGCAAATGCCCATGGCAAAGTACGGTTCGGAAGACTGAGGTACCAGACATCGATCACTGGCTGCTCAGTGCTGGCCTCGGGCGGCTGTGGGGTTCTTACGCACTGGCTTGTTGTTCTGGTTCAGGTGAGGGGAATCGGAGGCCAAGGTTAGTGGGACCAAGACTGCTCCCCATCCGATGCCCCCTTAGGGACTGCTAGCACGAGACCTCATCCCCGATCCTATGTCAACATCAACTGCCGGCTGTTCTCTTCTCTCGTCGACCTCTTTTCGAGCCTTTTTCCGAGCTCTCTTTTCAGACTGCCTCTACGGCCGACAGCTGATGTGAGCAGCAGCTGCTCAGGTCTGTTCCCTCGTCCGCTTTGACAGAGTGGTGAATGTGATGCTGTGTTGATGAACCGTTGTCAGGCAATGAGCTAACGACATGCGACTGCAGGAACGAATTCCGCTACCGATTTCTCTCCGAGACTACCCTAGAGCAGCTCTTCAGCAGCCTCCAGCAGCCTCCAGCAGCCTCCATTAGGATACAGCCTGTCCAGGTGACGGCATTAACAGCACCATGTCTCCCCTCAGATACATCCCCCTGTCTTACAACCACGCCGACTCGCAAGCCTCGGCGCTGAGGCTGGTCCTGTCCCTCAACCCCGACTGGGAGGGACCGGGCAACCAGATCGAGTTTGTGCGCTTCACAGACGGGATCACAAATACTGTGTGTGCAGATAGCAGACTGTATGACGTGAAATGGCCACATCAGACTAATCACCGCGTAGCTCCTGAAAATCATCAACCGCAAGCCCGGCCTGACCGAAGAGCAGATCGACAGCGAGGCCGTGCTGATGCGTGCGTATGGTAACCACACAGAGATTCTGATTGACCGTGAAAGTATGCCTTCTTGAGTCCTTGCCCAATGCGCCCTGTTCCTGTTCCTTGTTGCCTTGCCCGTCTTGTGCTGAGTAGACTTTGTGTTTTTAAAGGAGAAACCCGGTCCCATGCCCTTCTTGCCCAACGCGGCCTCGCCCCGCCCCTTCTGGCCCGGTTCAAGAATGGTCTCCTGTATCGATTTATCCGAGGTCATGTCACCTCGCCAAGGGATTTGGTCCAGCCTGCTGTCTGGCGGGCGGTAGCCAGACGGCTGGGACAGTGGCATGCCGTTCTTCCTGTCGACGTGTCGTCTGCGTCGGCCCCCAGCGAAGAAACGCCAGCAGTAGCAAGTCGTTTGCAACTTCTAGATTCGAACAAGAAGGGTTCTGTCCAGCCAGATGATATCACCCCGATCCAGCCCCGGGAGGCAGGACCCAACCTGTGGACTGTGCTACAGAAATGGATCCTGGCGCTGCCCGTGACGACGGAAGAGCAGCGTGCCCGGAGAAGAACCCTGCAGAAAGAGCTGGAGCGGATTGTAGCGGAGCTGGACGACGGGGCCGGCATCGGAGAGAGAGGAGTACGTCCGTGGGTTGGCTCCGTTTGGACTGACAGCTAACCTCCCGTCAACATCACAGCTGGTCTTCGCCCACTGCGACCTGCTCAGCGCGAACGTGGTCGTCCTGCCGCGAGGCACAAAATCCGAGTCGAACGACACTGAAGAGGTGCACTTCATCGACTACGAGTACGCGACGCCCTCGCCTGCCGCGTTCGACATTGCCAACCACTTCGCCGAGTGGGGTGGCTACGACTGCGACTACAACATGCTGCCGACGCGGTCGGTGCGGCGGCAGTTCTTGACGGAATACGTGAAGAGCTACAGCCGCCACGGTGGCAGCCTTGGGGGGAAGTCGGAGGAGGAGGTCGTCAACAAGCTGTTTGACGACGTGGATCGGTTCCGGGGGATTCCGGGATTCTACTGGTATGATCACCCACCCTAGTGGATATCATGTTCTGTGTACTGATGTTTGCTCCAGGGGCGTCTGGGCACTCATCCAGGCGACCATCTCGCAGATCGACTTTGACTACGCGTCGTACGCCGAGGTCCGGCTGGGCGAATACTGGGCCTGGCGGCGCGAGCTAGACGGCAGCCGGGCGCGCGCGGGCGACGAGATGCCGCTGAGAGAACGTCGATGGGCGCAGGAAGCCTGAAGACATCTCAGCGTTTGAACCGGTTGCACCCATTGAACGAGTCAATTTTCTGCATTCTGATTTTGCAGCGTGACTATCTTCCTGACTATCTTCTTCCTGTACATGCATGTTGATGCGAGCGTGTTATTTTTTTTCCCCATCTGTTCAACCCTTCAACCCTCTCTGACTATTTATTTTGTGGCAGAAAGCGGCCACGACGATATCCCTTTTTCTCTGACTAACTACCCTACGATATTTATTTAATACACAGTCCCCAGCTCGAAAGAAAGAAAGAAAGAAGCGGGACTGGACCGCCCTTAATTATCTTCTGCGAAGGAGAAGAGGGATTTTCAACAATATCTCTCTTCAACGAAATATAGAATTAGAGAGATGAACTTTAGCGGAATGGAATGGAGGACAAAAAAACAAAATACCTAATAGAAATGAAATGAATTGAAATAAATAAACTAAATAAAATGAGCGCAAGTAACTTCAAACTACGATACACCGTTGTTTATGGGAAGAAACTTTTTAAAAAAAAAACTAATAAAAAACAACCGAAATTAATAGTAATACTAGTATTAGATCTATTTAATAAATTGGTGTAATAATACCTCTCAGGAAGACGGAAGAAGACGAGTACCATCATAATCGAGAGCTGAATTCATCAATATCATAACATAGCATCAATATAGAATAGAATAAATATCATGCATTTGCTGCTAGCAGTACATGCTGTGGTTGTTTTTATATTATATATTCGAACCTATACATCTATCGTTATTACCATGTTTGACTTCTAATCTTCTCTAACTAAATAATTAAAGTCTTGAAGAGATGGATAGATCTGATGTGATCTAATCTGGGCTGAGATAATATCTACGAGGAAGAAAGAAATTCTTTCGAAGGAGGATAGTAAGGATGGCGATTGGGGATATATTTATGATAATATGCTTGCTTGCAATGATGCGTCGTGCGAGGTTTGGAAGGGACGAGGGAAGAAGCATATGAAAGGGAGGATAGAATTAGAATATATAATCGATGATTATTATGGTTATTGATTACTGGATTCACAGTGCAGCTTGTCAGTTAGTGTCAGTATAGTATATAACAGGTCATACGTAAATTTATTATTTTTGTTAACTACCTACGTAGGCAGTCGACCGACCAGGGCTTAGGGCTAGGGCAGGGCTCCACGACTCACTCTCCCTCTCATTTCTTCACGACACGAGTATGTACAACGACTTCTGTTTCTGTCAACGAGAATCTATCCCTGGCCACCCCTCAGCCGCTCCAGCACCTTTGCAATCGCAATCACCTTCTCCTCTTCTAGCTTTCTCGCCACGACCTGAACCGTCACCGGCAGTCCGTCGTACACGACCGGGTCGTAGTTCGCGCGAATCCGGCGGTCGAGATCGCACGTCGGCGCCGGGATGGGGTTTCCTGCTGCATCGCGCTCGCCAGACGGGTCATCAGCCTGGTGCGCTGGCCGCTGCTTGTCGACGAAGGTCCATGGCACCGTACACGCTGACAGGTCGAGCAGGTTGACCGTGCTGACGTACGCCAGGTACCGGACGCGGCTGTAGTCGCCGTGCTTGGGGCAGATGGACGGGTTGACGGGGGCGATGTACGCGTCCATGACAGCGCCTTCTCCTCCTGCTGCTGAGGCTGTTGCTGCCCATTGCTGCAGCACGGCCGCCTGGAAGTTGGTCCGCTCGACGGCCAGATCCCACGACTCGAGGATGGTCAACGGCGCCCGGTTGGTCTTACCTATCATCTCCAGACCGGGCTCTTGCGACAGGGCGATCGTCCGCTCAATGTCGCCGTTTGCGTCGGCGGAAAAGATGCGCAGCTAAGGACAAAAGTCAGGTTTCTTTCGGATTTTTTTTTAAGTTCTTTCTGTCAGGGGATTCTTACTGCGAGGTCCAGCGCGCGCGCCTGGTCAATCGTCAGGCAAAGGCCTCATGGCCCGCCTCCTTCAGCTTCTCCTCAACATCCTTCAACGCCTGCCGGATCGGCGGCTGCGGCAGAATGACCTTGTCCCAGTGCATAATCCCAATCCGCAGTTTGCGTCCTTCTCTGGCAATCTCCTGCGCTTCTGCGTCGCGCCATGGGATGGGCAGACATTTCGGATCGGCCAGCCAGGGCTGCGAGTCGACGACCGTCTTGGCGAAGAGCTCGAGCGATGCAGGCGAGTGTGTCATGGGGCCGACTACCGACGGGATTGTCCCTTGTCCCTCGCAGCTGTTCCGCATGCGATGGTAGGGGAATCGGCCGGTTGATGGGCGCAGGCCCCAGAGGCCTTGGTAGGCGGATGGGCTGTTTGAATTAGATTGGATATTAAGGCATGGCGATGAAATAGACAAAGAGAGAGAATAGAATGAAGGTGTCAACCTGCTTACCTTCTGATCGACCCTCCCAGGTCAGTTCCCACTCCCATCGGACCCCCCCTGAAAGCCAGCAAGGCTCCTTCACCACCGCTCGATCCACCGCAGGAAAACGATCGATTGTACGGATTGCTGGTTCTGCCTATAATGCTGCCCGATGTCAGCATCTGGATGATATTTATGATTTCCAGCAGAAGAGTGCCACCTACTTGTTCACCGTCTCCCCCCACATACAGCCCACACTCAGACTGGTCTTGACAAACACATTGGCGCCAGCCTTGGTGAGGAGATCGACCAAGACGCAGTCCTCAGCATCCACCTCCCCCAGGAAGGCGATAAATCCACACGTCGTCTCCGTCCCCTTGACGCGGCACTGGTCCTTGACCAAGATGGGCAGCCCATGCAACGGCCCAACCGTCTTCCCGTCTCAGCGAGATACCTGTCCAGCTCCTCCGCCCTGGCCCGCGCAGCCCGGTAGCAGAACTGCAGACAGCAGTTCAGCAGCCTATGCGCAATCGCCGCGCGATGCGTGAACGCATCCAGGACCTGGACGGCAGTGTACTGCCCTCGGACGAGCGCCGCGACCAGGTCTTCGGCCTTCAGCGAGGTGATTTCTTGTTCGAGCGGCGAGAGCAGCGTCCGCGGGACTTCCAGCATGCTCTGCGTGTCCGTCTCCGAGAAGGTCAGCTCTGTGTGGATGAAGGCCGGTGGGACGTCGGCCAGGATTTGTGCCTGTTTGGCGCGGGCGCGCTCTTGCCATGGGGGAGTGTTGGGTGGCATTTTCTTCTGTTTCTTCTCTTTTTCCTATTTTCATTTTTTTTTTCCTGAAGAAAAATATTTCCAGACAGAACTGTCAACCCTGACCTTCCCGAATGGAATGACTGATCCCACGCTATCAGTGGAGATATCAACTCCTAGCTGTATACTCTGTACGCAGTACGGCCCACTTATTGCTGCGTGGGCATTGCTTATCAGACTGCATATTTCCCCGCAGTAGAGTCCGACTAACACTTAGCATCGATTAGCATCAACTAGCTTATCAACGTCGGCTCGTTGACCCGGAAGTTAGAACGGCGGACGGCACGGGCCGGTGCCAGAATTAATTACTGAGATAATGATAACTCCGCAGAGAAGCCCGAGTGTCATTAAAGCAGGAGAACTGATTTGATGATTCTTCATAGTCTTGAGAAAATGCTCACACACATGCATACATACTGTACATACAGTACCTCTACGGATCGGCATCTACGGATCAGGCACATGTTCTCACTGCATTCCGCATGAGGGTTCATGATACTTGATATCGCTTTATCATGGCTCCAATTGGTACTGGCATCCCATGGACTCTTCCCCCTCCTCAACGATACGTCTTCCGTCGCGCATCGCTCGTCGACCCCGTCGAGGGCGTCGTCCACCGCAACGTCACCGTGTCGACAGCCAACGGCCGCATTGAGAGCGTCATCTACGACCAGAAAGAACCCGGAGGCTCGCCGGTGATTGTCGACAGCGACAGTAACAATAACGACACAACCGTCGAAGTAGATCTCCAAGGTAAATACCTCTGCCCCGGCCTGATCGACTGCCATGTCCACCTGAACGCCGTGCCCGGCGAGGCCACCCTGGGCCAGATGAAGAAGCTCCGGCCAGAGGTGATCGCTCTACGCCAGCCGCATCTCTGCCGGCTCATGCTGGAGCGCGGCTTCACGACGGCACGCGACTGCGGCGGCAGCTCCATCGCGCTGAAGGACGCCATCGCGCAGGGCGTTGTCCGACGGCCCCGGCTCTTCATCGCCGGCCACCAGCTCACCCAGACGGGCGGCCATGGCGACACGCGCGACGTCTACGACACGACGCCCTGCAGCGGCGGCCACGTCTTCGGCACCAGCGGCCTGCTCTGCGACGGCGTCCCCGAGTGCCTGCGCGTCGCCCGCGACCAGCTGCGGCAGGGCGCCGACTTCCTCAAGATCATGACCTCCTCGGCCCCATGACGCAGTTCGAGACGAGCGAATTCGCCCTCCGCGCGGGGGTCCTGTCGCCGGTAAAGATCCTGCAGTCGGCGACGATCAATGCCGCGCGGATGCTGCGGCAGGAGCAGTTCCTCGGGCAGATCAAGCCCGGGTTTGCGGCCGATCTGCTGGTTCTCGCGCGGAATCCGCTCGAGGATATTCGGGTCTTGGATGATCCGGATCGGTGACTTCTGGCTGTGCTGAAGGATGGGCGCGTGCAGGTAAGTCGGTGGAGGGTGCTGGACGAGGAGGTGGGGAGGAAGATGGTTCCTATAGAGTAGTGAATAGTAGCGAGCAATCGATGGATGATGATATTATATGAGCTTCTTTTTCAGGGAAACCGTATTGTACGTACATACATGTACTGTACATACATACATACGTACTGTCGTTACCATTTACGGTACATGTATCTACCCAATTTCCTGAATTGGAAATATATACCTACCTAGGAAGGTAGTTTTATGCTATATATCTGCCCAGACTACATCATAAGCAGAAGACATCCACAGACGTCTACCACTATCGCCAACTATACCGTATACCGAAACTTCCGATCCTGTTTATCCGTCAGGTCCGAATCGACATCGCCATGCAGCTCGTCCTCGACCTTTCCTGCGCCATCATCCGTCTGCTCAGCCCGACTCGCGTCACGCTTTGCGTTCTCGCTCCGGAACAGCAGGTAATACACGCCAAAGAACAAGATCAGCAACGCCCAGCTGACGATGCTAGAGATGCATCCCTTGATGTATCGCGGCGCGTCAGGTGCCTGCCACAGCTGCGGCCCCACGATACAGCCAGTCGAGTATCCCGAGAAAGTAGACGGCGCCGGCGGCAGACTTCTTCGTGTTCCCCTTGACGTTGGACGCCATCAGGCTGAGGGTCACGACCATCAGCGACGAGGACTGCGCTGCCAGCCAGGTGCTGACCACGATCCCCCACTGCTGGTGTCTTGCCGGTAGTGTCAGCAGCACGATGCTCCCCGCCAGCGGGATCAATGCCAGCGCTATCCCCCAGATGCACCGCATGTTCCTCGTGAAGCGCATGGCGAGTGCGGCGGTCCAGATCGTGGCGATTTGGAGAGCACCGCTGGGGAGGCCGACGAGCATGGTCTGGAAATTGCTGAAGCCGAAGTCGTCGATGACCAGAGATGAGAACTATAAACATAGTAAATTAAATTAATAAGTAGACTTGTACTTTTTTTTCTTTTTGTAAGGTTTGCACACCTTCAAGATCGGCGACGGAATGCAGATGAACAGCGCGAGCAGGAAGAGAATCCAGATCTGAGGATCGACCAGCGCTTCCTTCACCTGGTCTCTGTCGAACTGAGTCCGGTCTCGCGTGGCCCGGTCCCTGGCCAGTCGCTCCGTGGCGATCTTCCTCTCGTGCTCGTCGAGAAACCACGCCGTGGTGGTATCAGTAGGCATCAGCCAGATAAACAGCACGCCTGACAGGACGGTCGCGCCTCCACAGACAAGGAACATGACCCTCCAGCTGGCAATGGCCATGCTGGTCGACTGTCCGATGAGATACATGAGGATGGCGCCGATGATCTGCGCGAACCCGCTGCAGCCCTCCCAGACACCGGTCCCGTCAGCAACGAAAGGACTGTAATAGAGAGACGACGTACGCAACTCGCATCGGATGCTCCTTGCGCGTATACCAGTTACTGGTCAGGATCACGAAGCTCGGCGAAGCAGCGCCCTCGCAGAAGCCGAGAAAGAAGCGGGCGACCAGCAGACCGGACGCGTTGAAGGGCGCTCCCTGGCACATCTCGCAGGCGCCCCAGAGGATACTGGACAGTTAGTCTCAATTACTTCCGTGCTCTGGGCAAGATATCTGCTTACATGGTGATGCCCACAACCGTCGCAACGCGGAATCGACCGATGAAGTACGCCGACGGTAACTGCGCGGCCAGCTGGCCAAAGTAAAACAGACTGACGGCCCAGGAGAAGTCGGTGCCGGAGACGTGGATGTCCTGCTGCATGCCAAAGACGGAGGCGTAGTTGATGGTCTGCTTGTCGAGGACTGACTAACTGGTCAGCGAGTAGTGCAAACAAACTGCTGTCATGGGACATATACTGTACCTACACTGGAAGAAGAAGACGACAAACATGAGCGGCATGACGACTCGGTCAATCTTCCTCAGGACTTTCTTTTCTTCGACTGGATCGATTATTAGCGACTCCATGGTCACTTCACTCACTGCGATGGGCGGAGTCCCCGAGGGGAGTTTCACTTTCTCGGACGCGGCCATGGTAGCAGCGACTGCCTGGAGAAGATGCACGATGCCATGACGACGTGCTTGCAGCCTTACCTCGTATTTATGGCTAAATAACTCGATCGATGCGTGCGCTGCAGCCGGACTATCGACGTGCCTGGGCTGATAGGATTCGCTTGTTCGTTGATAAGAAGAGCAGCTTCGACCAAGCGCGATCCGGCTGCCATCTTATCTTCCCCGCTTCTGTCTTCGCGCCAGTAGAACGTGCAGTATAGAGCCATCTGCCGGGAATTTTCCAACTGACTGACTGACGAGACAAATGCATCAGATGCATAGTCTATCGCGTGGACATGGAATGGATCCCGCAAGACGAAGAGTCGCCGCCTGAATAAGGCCAGTGGCCGACAGTGATCGCAAGCGGGCTTGGAGCGTACGTCAACCAGCCCTTCTATTCTGCATTATTGAAGCCAAGAACTATCTCAAATAACTTGTGTCACAGCTGCTGGAGATGTCGAGCCGGTGCATACTAGCCCGGACACGGTCCCAGCCTGCTGCCAGCGGTGCGTGAAGCCGGCGTCGAGTGCAAGTTTACCGACAAACCAGTCTGTTTTGACCAGCTAGTCATATCGCAAGATGAGTGGACAAGTCTTTCAGGCTCAAATGCTGATTTGGGCCATTTGCTAGATATGCAACTAATGCAGCTGGACTGTCGCCAGCAGGGAAGACTGCAGTCCGCTCCAACGACGCTGCCTGCCTGCTGGTCAGGAGCTCGCTATGCGTCTGGTTCCAAGAAAGCACATTCTGATGACCAAAAAATAAAAAAAAAGGAGAGAGAAAAAGAAGAAGAAACGTCGAACAGATGCGGAGGAGATGCCGAAGATGCGAAGATGCCGAAAGGGCCGAACCGAGCTTACTGTACGATATACACAGCAGGGGGTAGTGCATTACATACAAAGGTGATAAATCAATGACGACTAGAATAGAATGGTGGTAACCAGAGAGAGAGACTCCTCAAGGTGCACCTGCGGTTGCATGATTTTTTTTGCTTGCAGGATGGTCTTCTTCCCCTCATTCTTTCTCAGAACATACGCTACTATACCTACTAAAGACCTCGTTTGGTAAATTGGAGTTGGATTAACTAACTACATGTATTTCCTACATGTACAGTACAGTACATACCTATCTACTTACTTAACATGGTTAGGGATTCAACTTGCTTGGTTGCGTAATAGCTAAGTATAGTCTTAGGTCTAGGGTATCTACATATTCTCCAATTTAGAATCTATGCAATAATAGCTTCCTGCCGATCCGGTCCATTGGAAAGTAAAGTAGGGTACCGAAATTAATATCAATAATATTCATTCATTGCGGAGGGGGGGTTACTCTAATTTTCTTCCTTTGTTAATTCGATAGAATTTACATATATGGAGAGACTCCTTTTACGGGTCCCAGTTCCTCCTGTACTCTAGCTCCATCACCATCTGATCTTTGCAGATGCGCCTGCCCACGTCCCCGCACTCATGCCGATGTGTCGATGCCGATGCCGATGCCGATGCCGTTAAACATATCCCGAAACCTGTTCTGTACAACCTCGCCCCCTGTTCAACGATCATGAGCTCAACGACATGAATAAAATCAAGGGCATACCTATCAACGTCAACCCCGAAGAAACCGAGCCGAATTGGATGGTTGCACAGGAGGAGGAACATCATGAGAGAGAGGGAGGGGGAGTGGACATCATGAGATTGTTGTGTCTAGAAACGAAGGATTAATTTAGGACTACTACATATAGAGGGGTAGGGTTTGTTATAAAAGGAGATAGAAATCCTGTCTTTGTCTGTCTTCGTTATGTTTGCTTCAGCAATGATATTCGGAGAATTTCTACTTTGCTAGTCAATTCAACTAGTATTTCTTGCCTAATTGCCTAAAAAGGAAACACAGCAACTACCTGCCTAACTGCACACTATTTTTGTTCCTACCTACCTAACTGCAACTACTGCTCAACATGCCAACCATCACCAAAAAATATAAAGCTGCCGCCGTCAACGCCGAACCAGGCTGGTTTGATCTCGAGGAATCCGTGCGCCGCACCATCCACTGGATTGACGAAGCTGGCCATGCGGGCTGCAAGTTCATTGCGTTTCCGGAACTATGTCCGTATCCCAGCCTCTGTACCTAGATGGTCCCTAGTTGACTGTTTATTTGTTGCTAACAGACGGTCTAGGGATCCCAGGCTACGTCTACTGGGCTTGGAAGGTCAACTACCAGGAGAGTCTTCCCCTGCTGAAGAAATACCGCGAGAACAGCCTCCCCTCCAATTCGGACGAGATGCGTCGCATCCGCGAGGCTGCCAGACGCAACAGGATCTTCGTGTCCCTGGGCTACTCGGAGGTCGATTTTGCGAGTCTGTATATCTCGCAGGTGCTGATCTCCCCCACAGGCGATATCCTCAACCACCGCCGCAAGATCAAGGCGACGCATGTCGAGCGCCTTGTTTTTGGCGACGGTACTGGCGACACCACTGAGTCTGTTGTCGAGACGGAGATTGGCCGCGTCGGCCAGCTCAATTGCTGGGAGAATATGAATCCGTTTCTCAAGGCGTATGCTGCGTCGCTTGGCGAGCAGGTTCATGTCGCGGCGTGGCCGCTCTATCCGGGAGTGGAAACGCTGAAGTATCCGGATCCGTATACGAATATCGCTGAGGCGAATGCTGATGTAGGTATCTCTTTTTCATATGCATCTGCAGTAACTGCCTTCTTTTTTTTTTTTAACGTGATGATACTGACAATACCAGCTCGTCACCCCGGCCTATGCCATCGAAACCGGAACGTTCACGCTGGCCCCCTGGCAGACCATCACGGCCGAGGGCATCAAGCTCAACACGCCTCCTGGCAAGGAGCTGGAGGATCCGCACATCTACAACGGTCATGGTCGGATCTTTGGGCCGGATGGGCAGAATCTGGTTCCTCATCCGGATAAGGATTTCCAAGGCCTTCTTATTGTTGATGTGAGTGCTCAAAAAGAACATAAAAGAGAGTCTGTTATGCTGACGATCTATCAGATTGATCTCGATGAGACGCATCTGTCAAAGTCGCTTGCTGACTTTGTAGGTCCCTGCTGCAATAGCTCCAGATGAGATATGTGATATATATCCAGCTGACATTTGACCATACACAGGGCGGACACTATATGCGTCCAGATTTGATCCGCCTTCTCGTCGACACCAATCGAAAAGACCTGGTTGTGCATGAGGATCGACAGAACGGGGGAGTTGTGTATACGAAGACGGTTGATCGGGTTGGACTGTCGAGTCCGTTGCATGTCGTCTCAACTCCTGCTGCTAGCGAGGAGAATTGAATAGGTTGTGCGTACTCATCATAGTAACAGCTTGCAGGTTTTCAAGTCTGCCCTGCTCAGCCAGGTCTGTCTTTCTCTCGTTCTTCATCTGCTCAACACAGATTGGATTTCTTCCTCTCCAGTTTATCATTCGATGTCGTGTCAGGGAAAGCACCGTCTGGAGCAAGCAGCTGTCACTCACTCACTTTCTCTCTGTTTATCATAATAAGCAAATCTTGGCAAGTAGCTATTCAAATCGACAGTCAATAAAATTATCCTTTCAGTCATTAGGAAGTACACACACTGGTTCGTTTCTGGTCACTTAATCCCTGAACCACTTCAGAGAAATCCTGACAGTCGCTGGTTGCAGGCACCATGGAGAAAGGCATGCTTGAGAATACTGCTTGCTGTGAATCTATTCAGGAAGGCTCTTAACTTCCTCTCTGCGGCTTCCTTCTGCCAACATTACCAGAAATGGAAATCGCACTGGCAGTACTTACCTCGCAGGTCCCTGGCAGGTCCCTTCCTCCAAGCAGACAGCATCCCTCGATTCAATTTCTCTTCTTTCTTCCTCTTCTTCTTCCTCTCCCTCTTCTTCTCTTCCTCAGTCACCATCTCGACTGAATATTTGCCATCCACTTAGCACTGCTCTACATACATACATCATCGTCTGATAGCAAGCAGTACACATCTTAAGTAAGTAAAGTACTGTACATGTCTTGCGTCTGTTATGCACCTGCTTACTCGATTGTCCGTCAGAATGCAGCCCATATTCAATGGCATCTTTCTCCTGGGCCTCGCCCTCACTGCCAGCCAAGCTGGTGCACAGTACCTCCGTGCTCCCGTCGTCCATGGTAACATCCCTGTGACCTACAAGGCGACCCTGCTCGACAAGAATACTACTGGCATCCGCGGCACCATCAGCGGGTCTGGGGGACCCGACGGCGTCGGGGCTAAATTTCGGGTCAATTTCACCGGCTTTCCTGATGAAAGTCTCTACGGACCATTCAGTATGTTCTCATTGCGTCTTGCATCATGGCCATATACTGACTGCCCAGTCTACCATATCCACATGGAACCAGTGCCAGAGGATGGAAACTGCACTGAAACCCTGTCCCATCTCGACCCCTACAACCGTGGCGAGCAGCCTGCATGCAATGCCAGCGAGCCTGCCACTTGCCAGCTGGGTGACCTGAGTGGAAAACATGGGTCCATTGTCGCTGTTGACGACGAGCCCTTCTTCGCCGAGTACATCGACTACTACCTGTCGACCACCCCGGACAACATCGCGTTTTTTGGCAATCTCTCTGTGGTCGTGCACACGGCCAACGCGACTCGACTCAACTGTGGCAATTTCGAGCTTGTGGAGGATGACGGCGAAGATGTAATGCCAAAAACGGCGACCGCCACTGCGACTGCGACTGTCAGCACCACGACTGTCACGGTCAGTCCTACCCCAGCCCCGTTTCATGCCGCGGCACCCCGTACGCGCGAGCTCTCGGCCGGGGCGGCTATTCTGGCCGGTGTATTTTCCGTGGCAGTTTGGGTATTTACCTAGCTGACGAAGATAGGACTTAACTCTTGCCTTTGAGGGCAGAGGTACTTGTGAAGCACGAATGACTCGATATTGTATTGATCATTAGTCTGTAGCCTTACTTAGCGTAGTTAATGAAAAGTCTGAATTCAGTGAAAATAATGAAGCGACATAGCGTGGCCGTAACTACTGCTTACGAGGTCAAGAATGAAAGGGTAGGACTTAGATCTATCGATTGATTTTCCTGGCTGACTTTTGTGTCTATACATCCGGTATGTACAGACGTAAGTCTATAATTTCGATTGCGCAGCAGCAGCAGAATCTTCCGGCACCAACCCCTCCTCGATGGCCTTGATCTGCAGCGCCAGGAACTTGGAGTAGATGCGACAGAGGGCGAGGTTTCCGCCCATGAACCAGAAGTGAGGATGGCCAGAGGGTCGCCATATCTATAACAGTTAGCCAGGGAATTTTTTTATCCGTGAGTAGTCTTTGGACTGGGCTGGACAACATACAGCATTGAGTTCCCCCTCCTCATCCAAATCCCAGACATCCTTACACCGATCCGCGACCTTGTCGCCTAGGACTTTGCGCACCGTCGTCCGCATGTTGTCGTACCCCGTAGCCAGGACGACAATGTCGGCTGGCAGTTCGGTATGCTCCTCATCATTCAGGACGATTCCCCTGGGCGTAAACCGCGCGATTCCCCCGGGGCAATGCTTCACCTTGATCTTGCCGTCGATGATCAACTGGCTACAACCGACATCGATGTAGTACCCGCCTCCGCGCGTGAAGTACAGCCGCGCGATGCCGGAGTCGTCGACGCCCTTGTAGATTTTGAAGCCTGCGCGCTCGAGACCCGAGAGGAGGGATGCGTCGACGGAAGAGATGCGTTTGGTCAGGTACACGTTTAGCGCGAATTGCACGGGGAAGGGGAGGCTTTCGGAGAAGATGTCTGCTTGGTCGGTGGGGGGGCTACACATATCATCATCATGTTAGTAACTTATAAGAATTGTTGCGTTTTCTTCAGGGCAAGGTGCCTGCTCACCCCCATTCATCATGCGTCCCCTCATGCAGCATAAACACCCCCTTGTCCAGCGACAGCACATACGTCCCGCTGCGCTGCAGCATGGTGACCTCGGCGCCATTCTCGTAAAAGTTCTCTGCGATGTCGTGTCCGCTGTTTCCCGTGCCGACGACAATGACCTTTTTTCCCTGGACATTGTTGTGGGTCGACGCGTCCTGGTGCTGGCTTCCGTGGTAGACCACGCCCTGGAAGTCCTCCTGGCCCGGGAAAGAAGGGATCTTGGGCTCTCCAGAATGTCCGGTGCACCAGACGAGGTGACGCGGATGCAGCACCTGGAAACCGTCAGGCCTGGACACAGTGACGGTCCATTTCCCGGCATCGTCGTCGTAGTCGGCGCTCTGGATACTCGTCCGCGTCCACACATTCAGCTCCATCAGGTTTGCGTAGGCTTCGAACCAGTCGGCCAGCTTGTCCTTGGGCGTGAACTGTGGCCAGTTCTTGGGGAAGGGGAGGTAGGCCATGTGCGTGAATTCGACGGGGTCGTGGGTGACGAGCGTCTGCAGATAGATACCTTAGCAAGTCGCTCAAGCAGAATGTATACCTATGTAGGAGGGTATACCCTATACCGCTTCCTCCAGTTATCGCCAATGCGCTCATTCTTGTCGATGATGAGCGTCGATACTCCAAGCAACTGGAGTCGAGCACCGAGATTCAGGCCGGATTGACCTGCACACAGACAGTTAGCCTGAATAATCCTGACTGACTGACTGACTTGTAAGAGTATGCCTACCAGCCCCCACAACAAGAACCTGCGGCTCCTCATCCACGAATTCGACCTGCCTCTTCCTTCGCTCTAGCCAGGTGCCCTTGCTGGATCCGCCAGGCATCGAGTTGAGCGTGCCATACACCCGTCTCGGACCCAGCGGCTCCTCGAAGCCTTTGAGTTCTTGAAGAGAGGTGTAGACTGCGTACGCCTTCCACTTGCCAGTACTATTGCTGGAATTATTCTCCTGCGTAAGCCTCAACACCCCACCCCCCGACCAACCCTCGTCTCAAAGAAAAACATGGACACAATCCACGTCAACAGCAAACCAGCCTCCTTCTCCGGCTCGTGCAGCGAGGGCCGATACCGGCCCTCATCCTGCAATTTCAACGCCGACAGCTGCGCGGTAGGCTGATGCTCTTGCAGGAACGCGGCAATGCCTTCGGCCCCCCGGATTGTGCGCAGATCCCACTGCAGCGCGAGGTGGTCGCGCCACCACGAGTCGGGGTGGAAGAGCTCCTCTTGCAGACGAGCAAAGTCGTTCGTGCGCAGGACGGAGACGAGAGAGGAGAGCCATTGCTGGGCGATGGCGGGGGGGTTGATGGCCGAGGGGTTGTCGTTGTCGTCGGTGATGGGGGGTGTGTTGGGGAGGTTGATGATGTGTGAAGCAGACATGGTATATGTAGTAGTCGTAAAAAGAATTCTGTTAGCAGCTTCTATAGTCAAGTACTCAAGTAGTCCAGTCACAGGAAAAGAAAGAAAGAACTCATCTCATCTCTCAGAATCACATTTATCCAGTAATTTATACCCTCGCAGCTCTAGCTCTATATATAAACTCAGCAGCTTGCATTCATCATGCACTCTTTCAGTGGGAAGGTTAAGAAAAGAAAAGAACACTGGTAACTAGGCCGAACCAGACCAGACCAGTCGGGCCAGAAACAATACCGACGGGCCGATCCATTCGATTGATTGACTGCCTGCTGGATTGAATAATATTACACGGCATTAGGTATTTCTACTGTCGACGTGGATCCCGTAAACAGCCTCCGGAGGGCGTCGTCCGATCGATGTGCGGGGAAATTTGGAATCGAACGGGTTAAACTTACGGGGTAATACAAGCCGAGAGTTGTCCAGGAAAGTGTGCCGAGATTTCTTTTCGGAGAATCGTCCGAGGGGAGTACTCCGTAATAGAGCTCGGGATAGCTTCCTTTTTCTTTTCTTTTGCTTTTTCCAGGAAGTAGACAGAGTGACAGACAGGATATTCACCTTACGGGATCAATCAAGGGGTTTTTTTTTAGAAATGATCGATGGAGAGTCATTTGACAATTTTTCTTTTTTTCTGTAAAAAAAATAAAATTAACATCATTTAAAAAAGTTCTACATATCTGACCGTTGTTAAAAAATATATATAACGTTAAGAAAGTAATCAACTATTATTTAGTTAAAAAAATTAATACCTTCCTATTTTTACTAACCAAAAGTTTTTTTTATCATAAGACTTAGGAGGGTTCATCTTTTTTTTTACTACTACTACCTAGGGTATGACTTGACTGTTATGAACCAACAGGAGACAACGCTGTCCAACACAGCGATGCAGGATGAAACAATTACCCCGCAAGGCAGGAACTACACAAAGACATACCATCAGAGATCACGTGACATGGTATAAGTATACCATTCAGATATACCAAGAAAGGTATACCAAAAGGCCTCGGAAGACCTCAATGGCATACCACTGAAGGGTATACAAATGGTATACTCAGGAGGAGATATAAAAGGAGGGGAAATTCCAGCCATGTATCTAGTCTTTCCTTACTCGCGCTCAATTAATTCAATCCATTCAACTTGAGTTACTAAGATACTTACTTTGGGGGTCAGTAAGACTTCTTACTACTAGTGGTATACCTCGGTATAGCTCTAGTAGGCGTTGCCTCTGACCTAGTCGTTGTTATTTGTTTATCTGAGGTACCTTAACGTGTGATCCTGCGAGACCCCTTTATACTTGTGAGAGATCGTTCGAGGAAGAGCCCTTCGCCAGGTAGGCCGTTGTCTCGAAAGAGGAGACCCGGGTCAGTTAGACCGTCGCGTGCTCGTGAACGACACAGAGTTAGGAAGACTCCTTGATCCTTCCCTAACCACCATCGTTAAGTATCGACGACTACGGTTGGACCCAGCGCGTAACATTGACCTATGATCATGATCATGATCATGATCTACCAAGATACTCCGTACATCATGAGATTGGATTTTAGGAGGAAGAAAATAAGGCTTCATGAAATTTCTATCTAGTCTAATCTACCTAACCACTAAACTGTCTAAGTGATCTAAATTTTGAGGTTTTGGCAGGAAGCTATATATAATATATAAAATTAACGTGTTTCCTAAAATTAGCATTTTTTCTTTTTCTTTTTTTTTTAAAAAAAATTAATAGTACTTACTCACTAACAACTGTAGAATTATGAATTAGGTAACTGTTTGTTATATAACTGTTTTTTCTTTTTTTTTATAATAATAATTCTAATTAATGTTTCCCATACATAGTTAAATAAAACAGTTTATTTATTTCTATTTGACCTTACTCTGTAAGGGAGTACGGAGGTTATAATAATGGTCGAATAAATGACATTACAAGTTTTCTGAAAAAAGAAGCTCCCCCGATTCGGTACGGTGTTAATTATTATTATTATTATTATTTACGATTTATTTATTTATTGAGGAGGATATAAATATAGAGCATCACTCACTCGTCACTCGTCACTCGACGTACAGTACAGTACAGTACAGTACGAATGCTAAGTATAGAATAGAATAGATCGTATCACGTGCATTGAATATAAATAATCCCATCCCAATAGGGCAACTGGGCAAGGCAAGGCAGGATAAGCATACAGAGTACTGAAATAATGTATCTGGCAACGAACCTAATGACCATCTAGGTAACATGTTTTTTTACTAATACTTCCTGCAGGTCCATACCGTAGCTAGGGTACAAAGTACCTGGTATTATGACCGCTATGTGTATTCAGCAATCCCAAATGGATTCGAGGATTCGTCTGGGTATCCACAGCCAGTTGAGGTCCAGGTATCCTCAACCTGCAAAACAGAAATAACAATAGCAACAAAGAAAGATGTAGACAGGTGCAGACTACCCATTATACAATACCAATACCGATACAAGTATCCATAAGAAGGGAAGCATAAGAAGGAAAGCAGCCATCACTCCGGTCGCCCTGACCGGCATGCAGAAGAAGAAACGCTAAAAACAAACCCCCGATGGATACATATGCAGTGAAGGAAAGAAAAAAAAATCATACAAGAATGAAGTAAAACAATCATCATATCAACCCTCAACATCCAACCCCCCATCGTCAATCACCATCTCCACCTCCTTGATCGGATGGAGCAGCATCGGTGGCAGACACATCCGGCCCTCGCCCGCGAGTTCCTCCTCCTCGCCGCCGTCGTTGTCCACCTTGTACCCCAGCCAGCGTCGCCACAGATTCGGCGAGAACCCGGCCGAGTAGAACCACGTCGTGCCCCGGAAGTTGTGCTCGCGGTCGCCAAACACGGCCGTCCGCGCCCCGCCCGACGCCCCGTTGCGGCCCGCATTGAACACCGACTCCAGATAGTGCACCGGCCATCGTCGATCGATGTACACCGAGTGCGGCACGTACACCGCCTTGAACCCGTGGTGCAGCGCCGTCGTCGCCGGCCACATCTCCGAGAACATCGTGTGCCGCTTCAGGCTCGTCTCGCGGTGCATCGTCATCAGCAGCTTGCGCGACAGCCGCGACGCCGTGATGATCGCCGTCCGCCGCGGCGGCATCCCGTTCTCCTTGTTGTACCCCGTCACGTCGTCCCGCAGCAGCCACGTCGTGCCCTCCGGGTCGTACAGCGGGTTGAACACGATCAGGTCCGCTTCTTCACCAACCCCCCATTCGTACCGATCCTTCTCCATCGTCGTCGGCGGGATGCCCTCGCCTTCAACCTCCAGGATATCGCTCTCGTGCGGTCGCTCGGGTCCCCAGATGAACTTGTCGCCGTGTCGGCCCACGTCTTTGTTGTTCGGGTCCAGCGGATCTTTGCCCTCCTTCAGCGGTCCCCACATGTTGTTGGGGCTGTTCGTCCCGAGTTCGGTCTGGACGCGAACCGTCTGGATGAAATCCTCCCACGGCCCGTGCACCGAGGGCACGTAGAAGCGAGCATTGCGCTCCCAGAGCCCCTTCCGCGGCTGCGCGCGAGCCCAGCTGACCACCTTGTCGAAGAGATGGTACCAATGCCCCGTGTATCGGACATCCATCTCCCAGTTCCAGAAGTAGTCGTATTCCGGGTGCAGATAGGCGAAATACTGCACCGGCATGAACGTGCTCCGGTAGACCCCGTGCACCGGCAGCCCCCGCGTAAATGTTTCTTCCAGTCCGCCGTAGATGAGGCCCATCTGTCGCTCCGACCACAATGTACCCATGCCGTGGAATTCCTCGGGCAGCGATTCGCGGAGCACACGCTCGTACGTCTCGTCGTCCGACCAGATCTGGAGGTTGTCGTCCTTTACGTGGATCAGGAAGTGAACCGTATACTCCCCGCCGGACAGCAGGGACAGCTCCGCGATCAACGACCGCAGGTACATGAGATCTTCGGGAGTGTAGTGGTAGTCCGTCCAGGTTCGAATGAGAACGGCCGTCCGAGGCAGACGGTCGGTGCCCTTTCGGGGTTCCTTCTTGCTCGAAGGCGCGGGCGCCTCGGCCAGACGGGGCGGAGAAGCACCAACGGGCATGGCAAACATGCGGTCCAATCGGGGCTGCTCTGGGAGATCTTTGAAGCGGTGGTTGTTGGCGGCCACACATCGATTCTGGGCGGCCGCCCAGTTGACCTGGCGGAAATCGACCGGCGGCACATCGTTCCAGACTCGCTCCGCTCCAGCACGATCGCCTTCGAGACCTGCGCCGGTCCCGCCTTTCTTCACCCCGTAGCCCAGTCCATATGGCCCCAGGCGGCCAAAGCGGTCAAAACAGACGTCGTCTTGGATGCCAATCATCTCGTTGGATCCCATGACGGCGTCGGGGAAGCCTCGCGGGACGCCCTTGTAGTGGTGGACGAGGGGGATCCGGACGGTTTCCTCCTCATCCAAGAAACAGTCCTTCTTTTCGCCATATTGTTTGATGTAGGCCTCTGATTTGTAGTCCGGATACGGGTCGAACGGCGAGCTGGTCATGGACGGACCTTGCTCCGATCGGGCTTGGGGGTTGCTCGTCTCCTTGTCCGTATCTTCGGGGACAATCTTCTCCTCCGGACCGTCTCCCGGGTACTCGGGGACGTTTTCCTTGCGGGGTACCAGCGTGCGGACTCCGCCGTGGTAGCGCTTCAGGAAGGGGAAGCTCTCCCATTGCGGCGGCTTCGGGGCGGATTTGGGTAGTTCCAGCGGGATCTGCTGGGCGGGCTTGACGATACTGAAGCGGAAAAGGGTGAGGACGAAGAGGATGAGGGCGAAGAGCAGGGCGAAACACAGCCATCGCATCAGCCGATGGGGGACAGGGTAGAATCTGGCGCCATTCGGCCGCCGCCGCCGGCGGGACGGACTGCCCAGCATTAGCTGCCGGGATGGGTGAGAACCGGGGGTGACTCGCGAGGAGTCGGAGTAGGGTTGCTCGTCTTCACTGGCCGAGTCATAGGGGGGCAACGAGGCCTTTTCAAGATCGGGTTTCTCGAGCAGCTGTCGGCGAGACCATGTGCCCGCATGCGTATCGGACACAGCGCGATGTCTTGTTTGTCCGGTCATCGCACGAGCGAGAGCATCCGTCTTGTCCAGAGGCCGTCAGTACTGACGCCTGTGACTGACTCAGCAGTTGGATCCGTCTTGAGGTGTCTTCTTATCGAATCGAAGCAGTGGCCGTCTGGGAGGAATTATTTTTGTTAGCAGTTACGATGCCAAGAGACCGAACGGTCCAGACTGCGGAAGCACGAACCGAATCCACGGAAGCAGAGACGACGCAGCGGTGCGGCAGACCAGGGTTGGCAACGCCTGCTGAGGCAGTTGGAACTTGGAAGGCAGGAGATAGGAAACATCCACAACGATGGAGCAGAGGAAAGAAGCGAACTGCCAGCGGAGTGGAGAGGCAGAGAGCACGCAGCCAGGGCGGCCGACAAGGCCATGCTCTGCCATCGCGCAGAGACGCCGCGAACGGTTGCCAAAGCGATATGGACCCCTGGGCGTCTTCTAGCCTGTGACAGGCCCGGAAACGGCTGCCCCACGGCGGCCTGGCGGGAGACGCGCACGCATGACGGTGCAATCAGGCGCCTCGTGGATGGCGGTGATTCTGCAGTCCAGCAGCTCGACCCACGGCCTCATCGCACGGCAGTAAATAATAACAGGCATTGTTTGTGGTACAGAGAACAGAGTAACCTGCAGCTTGTCCGGGAAACAGACAGCATCCGGAGTAACAGACGAAAGTACACCTCTCGTCCTCCGCCAATCAGGAGCCCGCCACATGATGCAGAGCTCGGCTGTCCTCAAATCCTCACGTTCTATTTCAGGAAGACAGACGGTCAGGGGGTCAGCTAGCACTGCCAAGACGGAGAAAGCACAGCAGATGATCTTCACAGTACGGAGTATACGGAGTACTCATGGTCATCAGACGGCCTACGGAGTAATACCCGTGCAGATGGCCGTCTTGATTACGATTATCCCTCCTGAAGATCAAGACTGATCCCTCTTATCAACTTCCGTTTTTGTATTGTCACGTGATTGGAATATAGTAAGGGATATACCGAACAGTACGGATAGTAGATTGAGGACAACCTATTAAGTATATGTATTCCGTATGGTGAGGAATAAAGTGAGGAACCGCCTGGGGAATTGATAATAAGACTATATAAGTCTGACACAGAGCAGAGTACTGCCTCTTAAAACCATCGGGCGAAACGACACCAAGTCTTGTCGTTCTCTCGAGGATAACCTTCACATCCGTGAGATGAACGCTCCCATCACAGGGGTGAGCTGGCAGATCTCCCCGTTCGCTGCACGTGGCGCTGCTTCGAAACGCCGGGCGTGAGAAAAACAAAACACGACATACCCAGATACAGACGATGAGCAAGCTGGTTGATGGATTCAAGTACGGAGTACATCTCCGCTCCGCTCCGCCGTGTTATTTATTATCTGGCGCTGCGGTGCGATCCCACGACCTCCGCTCCGGGTTGGGAGGTCCTTTAAGATTAAGATTCCCTCTTGCGGATGAAGGCATGGGGGCAGCACTGATTCCTCAGCTTCACAAACTGCAGAACGCAGATATATATAATTACCCCAGGGATGTCAAGGCTGTGCCACCCGGTCCTAGGGCCCAAAAAAAAAGCATAATAGTCGCGGTGGACCAATCTATCCAAGTAGAGGAAGAAAGGTAAGATAACCAGTATCATTAGCAAGAAGTTATCGATGAGCGTAGACGTGAAAAAAAAAACGAATAAGAAAGGGAAGTACTTCTATATAGAGTCGTTGAAAAAGAAAAAACAAGCTGCGTGCCATGCTGGCAGATCCGGTTCACAAGTGTATGTACCTGGGTACCGAGTATAGGTAGAATAGGCCTGTTACTCAATATTGTACTGTACGGGGTATGTACGTACAGTCCGTGTTGTACTGTACGCAGGACCAGTGACGGCCGCGGGCATGTCACACCGCAAGACAAGATGCGGTCAGGTCACGAGGACAGGCCACTTCCAGTCCTGGATGAAATCGGTCCTGATCTGTCGGAGTGGTTGAGGACGAGACGCGTGGCTGGAGATTTATTTAACAGTGTTAACTTCAGCAGTTCTTTTCGAGGTTAAAAGAAAAGAAAAGAAATGAAATGAAATGAAAGAAACTCATCTCCTGAACTGACGAATCCCTATTCACCTTGTTGCGTTGCGTGTCAAAACCAATGCCCACGTCTAGATAAAGAGTACATACGTACGAATCATCACGCTTTGACAGTGCTGGAGAGCCTTGATCCTGGACAATGGCATTGGGCCTCGCATCAATCGTTCTGTGCAGGACCATGTGACTTTCATATCGCCGGTTTACGTAGACGAAACGTTCTTGAATAGTGTTGACGGTGGTTACAGCTGTAGAAGTTAGGGGGAAAATACCCTCACAGCAATTCTATTTAGACAGCCGTCTCAGAATATAATAAACAGACAGGGGACTAAGACTCTAGACATAAGATATTTCATTTGACGCTTAAGATCGGGACAAGAAAAAACAACAAGAGGACAAGCAACACACGGGTTTTCGGTCATGGAAAAAAAATAACTCGTTCAATCGACGCCAGTGATGACGGCAAGGAAAGAGGAATAAAGTGGCTAATAGCATAGTAGGAGAGAGCAATGAGAAAGAAGCCGTTAAGAGAACACACATGTACTAAGTCCATCTGCCTCGGCGAGAATCATTCACACCCCCTTTCACAACTCCCCCGTCTCCCCGACTTGGTATTCCTCGTCAAAAAAAGCACCATCAAGCTGAGGACCCGCTCGTTTTCATCTAGTCACGACCAGTCTTTCTCAGAGTCTCAGCGAGCCACTCCAGACCCTCATACAGACCGTCACCAGTGGTAGCGCAAGTGGATTGGATATACTATGACATCGAGTTAGAAACCTAGCCCTGACACCCAAGGATGCCACACTTACCCAAGCACGGCGCGTCAAGCTCTGCAGGCCCAGCTGCTGGGTGATCTCGGCGGGGCTCATGGCGTTCTGTGTGGATAATAGTGTCAGAAGTGTCCATACAGAAGATATACCAAAGTCAGGTGACAAAGGATCCAAGACGTACAGGCAAGTCTTGCTTGTTGGCGAAAACCAGGAGAAGAGCGTCACGAAGTTCATCCTCATTCAGCATGCGCTGGAGTTCCTCCCGGGCCTCCACGATACGGTCACGGTCATTGCTGTCGACGACGAAAATTATACCCTGAGTGTTCTGGAAGTAGTGTCTCCACAGGGGACGGATCTTGTCCTGACCGCCAACGTCCCAGACGGTGAACTGAATGTTCTTATACTCGACAGTCTCGACGTTGAAACCTGAAGCAGATTCGACTCGTCAGTGATGCCTCTCCTTTCTTCCCCTCCCACCTCCCTGCTCACGCGACAGCACCAGCGACCCCCAACCCAAGCGACCAGACAGACGATGGAAAGAGGACAACTAACCGATCGTGGGGATGGTGGTGACGATTTCACCGAGCTTCAGCTTGTACAGGATGGTGGTCTTTCCGGCGGCATCAAGACCAACCATCAAAATCCGCATCTCCTTCTTGCCCCATATTTTATCGAACAACCTCGAGAAAGTCAGACCCATGTTGGCGGCGGTGAGGGGAGGACAATGGCTAGCAACGACAGCACTCGGTCAGCAACAGTCAGTTCCAAGCAGCCAGACGCGACAGAAGACAGATCGAGGACCTGGGCGAAGGCACCCGGAGGTAAGTGCTCGAACGTGGCGACAAGGAGAAGGGGGGAGAATGGCGAGATGGCCTGCAGGGGAGAGGCTAGAGTGGCAGTAGACGGTCTCGAATGTAATTGTGGAGACCCCCGAGTCCACGGTCAGGAGGCAGCGGCAGGAATGGGGTTACAGGGCAGAAGGGGACGCGATGCAGCAGGATACTTACAAGGAGACAATCCACTCGCGTCAGTGAGGATGGGAAGATGGCGTTTGCGTGAGATGCGTTGCGTCTCGCGGAGTCTTACTTAGCAGGAAGACAGAGTTGGTGTGAAATTTCGGGTGCCCTGCCAGATCAAGAAATGCGGCTGCAAGCGTAGCTTCCGTCACTAACCAGCAGCACGCCCACGAGATAGACAAGGCCGCCCAACGCCCACGAGCACGCTGATTACGATGGTATTTTGCGTTGGCAACGCTCGATAGAGCTGAAACGATACCGGTGGAGCTTATTCTCGGTCCTCTGCTGCGTTGAACTGCGCGTGTCGACGCCTCGCCTGTGAACTGCCTTCAGTCCCCGCCACACGAAAAGGACACGGTGTTTCTGCGGTGAAATCAGCTGCCTGGCGCGATGGCGCTATCGTACATTACGGGGCACACCGAACCTTCCATCAGCACTGCAGGCTCCAGTCTTCATACCGGAACCACGACCTCCTGAAGATCTACAAATGACTGTCCTCTTTGCGGATCGGTGATTTGTGCGCTCCTGTTCGCCAATCCCCACACCTTCCTCTGGCTGTCCATTTAACGGCCTCAATGTCTCTGGCCCATGGGTCGGCTACAACATCATCTAGGATCCCGGTTGCTGGATAACCGCGAGCTTATGCAGCTAGCCACTATTACTATACAGCATAGCAGGTTCTACAGTGCTCATACATATTCGACAAGCTCATCAATCCATCCCCCATTGCTCCCGCTACCGCCTGCGTCCCTCCGCGTATTTCTCAATACGCACGTTTTGTGATGCCAGTTCCTTGGATATTTTTGCCTTCGAGGACCTGAACAATGTTCGGAAGAGAGACTGGTAGATGGTTTTGCCCTCGATGGTGTCGCTCGCGTAGCCAAACAGGGCGAGGAGAACAATGGAGAGAAACATCAACACCGCAAACGAGATCCAGTATGCGCGCGCTGTAAAGGTGTGCTGCAGATCTTGGATCTGGGTCGAGAAATAACCGGTCATCAGACTCACGGGCAGGAACACAATGGTCACCTTGGCCAGCAGAATGGTGATTCGCGTCAATTTCTCAACCGCTTGCGAGTCTTTGAGTGCGATCAGGTTGAAGTTCTGTTATACAAATCAGCCCCATACCCATGGTCACAAAGCAGGGGAGACCGTCTACCATGAACGTGAGTGAGTCCTTCTCTATCAAGCATGACTCGATTTCGCTCAGGCAGTACAATTGGATGCGATCCGCCAGCCGCTCGAAGCGGCCAACTGCTGCGGAGCTCAGGCGGACGCCTACTGGCATGTCGTATTGTTCCGCAGTGCCTAATATTGCACTTCGCGACATCGAGTATATGGAGTCATGGACATCCGTCTCATTCGACCCGTTCACAAGGAAAGGGTTCTCGCGTTGAGAGCGTGCCTCGTCGCGCAGCAGACGCTGTCTCTGCAGGAGGCGTACTACGATCTGCTCATAGCTCTTGTAAACACGCCTTAGGACTGCAAGCCGTCTGCCTAACCAATGCAAGTCATCGACCAGGTCGACTTGTGGTCGTTCCAGCATTTTCCTTCTCTAGGCATCCGTCAGCATCGAAACTGTGCAATAGTGCTCTCTCCCACGTGCAAGACTGACCAGGTCGTCCAGAATGGCACCATACATGTGCTCCCTCCGAGCCACCAGGCGGTAGCTCGAGATCCAGTCATCGAAGATGTAGTACAACAGCAAACTGGGACCATCCTCCTGCTTGATACTCGCCTGGTCCGGTTCCGAGTCCGAAAAGTGGCGGACACGGACTGTTACTAGGGATTCTCTTTCCGAGTCCGCGGAATACTGTTTGGACACACCGGAGAAAATGGACACTATGTTCCGGCGAACAGCCTCTATTACTGTCCTCTCCTCTTCAGCGGTCGGTGTATACGGTCCAGGAAATGGATTCTCCTGCATGGAAATGATGGTGCCTGGAAGGAGTGAGAGTAATGTTAGGGTATAATACTTAAAAAAAAAAAGAGAGAGAGAAAGGATCTGAGATACCATCGTTGCAGAGAATAATCCAGCACCACACTCTCTTGCCATTAGGCAAACCCTTGCCATTATCGATCTCTCGCCCATTGATCTTGACCGCGTACAAGGAATTGTATCCGATGCAAGTGTCTAGGAGGCCATTGCATGTCAGCGATGGCGTGGTCCACGCGTTCTTCACAGGATCTGATCTGATCTTACATTTAGGGCCGTAGTCCACAGAGCAGAAATGCCAAATCTGGTCAATGATACTGGCAAAGGTAAGACTCTTGAACGAGGATGCTACTTCGCCACTGGCATGGGTCGGGTCGAGGTCGTTAAGGTGATAAGCTCCTTCGAGATCGCCGTCAGGTAACTCATGCAGTTTGTTCACGACAGACACAGAGTGACTGCCGCTGCCCTTGTGGTGAGGTGCTGTTTGATCAGAGGAGGCCTCTGGTGACACGGTGGGAGGTCTTGTCTGGGGCACCGGCTCTGTGCACATCATCTTCTGCAGTCTCTCCGACACGCCATATTGTTTCGTGATATACTAAGAGAGCGTCGAAAGTTAGGAACGAGAATGAAGTCAGAAGACAAAGAAAAGCTGAATGAAATAACGTACTTTGATGGATTCTTTCTGTCTCTCTGGTGCCCATATATTACTGTTCCAGTTAGCAAATAAATATCTATAAGGGACCCAGACCTTGGCTAAGCAGGAAAATGTTAAACGGGAGATATTTCACATACATCCATCTCGTGCCAAAGACTTTCGGTCTCTAAATCATCGCAGATGGGAGTCAATCTCAAGTCAGCAGCAGTAGAAAACATAATAGAATTAACTGATCATCGAAGGAAATTTTCTTAAGAAGGGGGGGGGGAGGGGAAACCATACCGGCGCATCCATCAACGCTACCAGATCATCCTCGTCCAGATTCACACCGCACCACGCATCTTCATTGCCAAAGTCGAGAACGAAATTGTACGTTCTCCTATCCAGGAGAAGCCTCTGGTACTCTCTGAAATGGACTTCTTCGTCGATGTTTTTGAACTTTTGGGACAGGCCGGGTCTGGTGGATTGGAATCCGGCGTAGTATTCAGACGCGGTTGTTAATGTTCGAGGTAACGCGGTTGTTTCGGCCATTATTGTTGTCCTTGGATTGCTGTGTAGTGGGTATCGTTCATGTAAACAATTATCCCTCGACTGGTAACCGGCAATAGTGATAAATAGTTATGTCGTTTGTATCTTGATTTACGACAAGGAGAAACAAGTGCGATTTCTTAAATAATGAAGCATGAAGTTAATTGAATCCAGAGTCCATTCCGTGACTAGCGATGAATTGTGTCCCTCTGCGTGACCTGGCGGCCAGCTGGGGTTGGGTCAGATGAGGCTGATACAAGCTAATCAGCTGACTGGAGCAGGCGCCTGCCTGCGCATATCCCCGGACTCGGCGGCTGACGATCTTCAGCTACGCGCCCACTTACGAAGCAGAGTTTCAGGATGCATGTGGGCGCTTATTGGGCTAGCCTAAATTTAGCGATCTACGGTTGGATTTTTTCTCTCAGAGAGGTCTTTTGAGATATGTATGTACTGTATGTACTGTACAGGAGAAGCATCCTGGATGTCACGAGAACCAGGCTGTTCTACAGGCCGTGTGTACGCAAGTGGATAGGATGGAGAATCCGGTATCTGTGGCGTACAGTTGTACTACCAAGGCGATGTTTCCGCTAACGCAAGTTAACACTTGAGACTGTGTTTGTTCCTTTGACCAGTGATGTCAAGATATCACGAGAGCAAACCCCTCCAGTCCCGCCGCAACACCTGATTCAACTGACAGAGAGAAGGACCAATCAGAGTGGCCCAAGCCCGATGGTCCAAACACAGCCATGGAGTCATATCAGAGGGGCCTTGTATGACTCTAAGTTGAGCATCAGGGTTGGAAAGTCCTTTTCTGTGCATCTGAGTCAATGGCCATCATTACAAACTCCTTCGACTATCTCTGCCCCAGAGCACGGGGGCTTGCTCGCACTCAAAGCAGTTGGGACTGAAAGACAATTAATTATCCACGCATTATGGCAACCAGACCTGTACTTGGCGATGTCGTACTGCTTCCAAAAGATGCGAATTTCTCCCCAGATGCTCTACAAGCCATCGTTGATCGCTTCAAATCCAATCGTCTGCAAGCACTCCAACTTGACCCTGATGCCTTTGGATCAACGTATGAGCGCGAGAGTCAATTTACATATCAGACTTGGTTGTCTCGCATTACAAATCCCCTGAGCAAGACCTTTGTCGCCCTAGAACATCAGGAATCCAGTATTACTTCAGAAGACAGTGCTTCCAGACTGTGCCACCTGCTGGGAAATAATGAGTGGCTAGGTACAGTTACCGTCCTTGGGCCAAAGTCGCTATCTGGTGGGGAATCCAGCCTGAGCTCGACGCCATGGAGGCTGTTTACACGAGAGAACTCGTCTGAGTCGCCAGACTTGACGTCAATCAAGAATCGCCATGCAGTGTACCTGATCGTTGGCATGTTCGTCTCGCCCAGCCGGAGGAGAGAGGGTCACGGCCGACGCCTTGTTGAAGCCGCCTTAACTGCAGCCATGGAGGAATCACGAGGCATCTCAGCATCAAGAGTCATTGTTTGTCTCATGGTCGAGCCCAGGAACGTGGCTGCGCGGCGTCTGTATGAGAGCGTCGGGTTCGGAATCCGGGGGAGTGAACCAGCGGATAACGCAGTAACTTTCCCTACTATCGGGATGACGTGGGAGAAGGAGCTTATGGCATGACATTCATCCACCATTTGCAGTCGATAATATTCGATACAAGTGACATTTGGATGCTTGGTATTCCTCGTTTATGAACCGGCTTGACAAAAGATGTAATAGTACTTGTTGCATGTAAGAACTCTTGGGGCGGTGCGTTGCTGAGTCAGCAAGGAACGGTCTGTTAGGGCATGCTAGTTCAAAAGCGGGTTAGCGCCACCAGACTCCCACAAGCGGGGATTTTCGCACCGTCGCCGCCTGCCAAACTCTGCGGGTTTTGACCTCCTGCTGTAGTCCATCCTGAACGACATTTCAGCGCAGAGCCACACCATAAGAATCTCGTATTCTTTTGGAAGACTGTCGTCACCATGTCGAAGATCACAGTCGGTGAGTTTCACCTTCCTGCATGATTTCCTCGCATTTTATCTTGGGGTGAAAAAAAAGGACAGCCGGCTGACGATAATTTTTGTGTGAACAGCCGGAGTGCGCCAAAATGTCAGGGAGCTTCTGGACTACTCCAACAACCAGAAGAAGAGAAACTTTCTCGAGACCGTCGAGCTCCAGATCGGTCTGAAGAACTATGACCCTCAGCGTGACAAGCGTTTCTCGGGCACCATCAAGCTGCCCTCCATCCCTCGCCCGGGAATGACTGTCTGGTACGTTCGACCTGTCGCCTTCGTCCAGGAAACGCGTCGACGCAGAACAAATGGAATTGGAAGAGTGATAGACTGACGATGTGCCGCTTTACAGCATTCTCGGTGACCAGCACGACCTCGACCGTGCCAAGCACCTGGGCATTGACTCCATGTCCGCTGAGGACCTGAAGAAGCTGAACAAGAACAAGAAGCTCATCAAGAAGCTGGCTCGCAAGTACGATGCCTTCCTTGCCTCCGACGGTCTCATCAAGCAGATTCCTCGTCTCCTGGGACCCGGTCTGTCGAAGGGTACGTTTTTGTTGTCTCCTGCTCCCATAATTATGAGCTCCTCTGCTAACTAGTCCCCCTCCAGCCGGTAAATTCCCGACCCCCATCTCTCACAGCGAGGACATGGCCAACAAGGTCAACGAGGTCAAGTCCACCATCAAGTTCCAGCTGAAGAAGGTGCTCTGCTTGGGTGTTGCTGTTGGCAACGTTGCCATGACCGAGGATGAGCTCATCTCCAACATCATGCTTGCCATCAACTACCTGGTCTCCCTGCTGAAGAAGGGCTGGCAGAACGTCGGCAGCCTTGTCATCAAGGCTTCCATGTCTCCTCCCAAGCGCCTCTACTAAACGCTGTGCTTGGCGGCACAGGTATTTACTATATTAGGACGGGTTTTTTGAGGAACAAAAGTTATGTGATGACTTGATCTGCTATAGATAGCTGGTTATGAATCTTAAACGAACTTGGTTCCTCAAATCTACAGTTTCTTGTCCAGTAGATGCTAGCCAAGATTGACATGAAGCGTAATCTACAGAATAGTAAAACAACACAGGCAACTACAGGGTATAGATACACGAGGCTGGCTGCCTACTGCATGCCCTCCATCAGATCCGACTTATCCAGGATCATGCCCCTCATCCCGATAAACTCGCGGAGACTCTCCCATTCCTCACCTTCCTCCTCGCCCCTCATCCAGGGATCCTTGAACCCCCACGCAACGGCGACCTTGTCGAGCGCCGCCCGCTCTTCCTCCCTCAGCCAGCGTTGCCGCAACGGCATGCCGGGCAACCACACCACGCGTTCCATATGATCGTTCGCCGTCGTGATGGCCACGATGCCCACCGACGACGTAAACCCTATGTAGGCCAGGATCGCGGAAAACGCGATGCCCGTCGCCGTGCCCGGATCCATGGTGTTCTGTAAGGTCGCGGACCACGAGGCCAGGGCATACGACGCCAGAGGCGCCGCAGCCAGTCCGCTCAACGGCAGGGCTGCCTTCTTGAAGATCTTGGCGCGTTTGAATGCTGGGGTGCAGAAGGTCGTGTCGATAATGGCCAGGGCGAGAGGCAGATTCTTCTGTTCGACGGCCACGTCGAGAGCCATGTTGGCGAGTTCGGACGGAATGGCGTTTTTCACGCTCTTGGGGTTTTGCGGACGATATCTCACCGGGGAGGAGTTGGGCTCCGGGACGGGCTTGTTGGCGTACAGGGTGAATATCCGAGGGAAATAATCTGCCCGTTTCAGGAGTGTCTGGATCTTGGTATAGCACTTCAGTGCATCGGGGGATATGAAAACTTTCTCGTCTTCGAGCAGCTCGTTGGCGATCTGCGAGATGGAGTCCGACACCCGCTGCTCAGCGCCTGGCGTCACCTTGGCCCGCGGCGCGGACGCGGCTTTCTCCTCGAGATCCAGCAGGGAGGAGGTCGCGCTGGCCTCGTCTTTCTTGCTGCCTTTCGCATGTTGGTCCTGATCCTGCGAGACAAAGTATCCCACGATCTGCTGGCATTTCCGCAGCAATTGCACCACGGCCTCGTCGGAAGGCACGGAATCTGAGTTTTTGATCGACTGGAACTCCTTGGTCACCTGCTGAAGAGCGGCGTCTGGGTCAAAGGATGACTGCGTTGCTTGGCTGGTCGACGCGAAACGCTTTGTAGCATCGTGAACTGGTATCAATGGCCGTGGGAATGTTCGTCTCCATGGGTAGTTGGGACGCACAGCGACAGCGGCGTGGCTGCGGTGGGACAGCGGTCGTTGCTGGACTTCGGCGACAGTGGAAAACTGGCAGAATTGACAGATCGGCCCCTGCAATCGGGCATTCCTCTGTGCTCGGATCGCAATGCCCCTCATCGCGCAAGAATCCTCTGCTGGAGTCCTTTACGGGTGGAACAGCGGCTAAGCATCGTACTGTACGGAGTATACGACCGCCCAGCGAACGAACCACGGAGCGTGCCCAAAGCACCGCCACGCCTGACTCCGCCCGACATCGTCTGCCGCCTAGTTAGTCGCCTGCCGCAAGCTGAACAGTACAACTACGCCAGACTGCGTCGTCTCGCCATCCAGTGCACGCCACCTCTCCCAGAAAGCCGTCTACCGCCCGGGTATCCTGCCTGCAGGGGTTGGGGGATTTAAGAATCGCCTGTCTCCCATCGCAGTTTCCTCCCCAACCCTGATCTCCCCGCGGGTTCCTTCTCTCTCCGGGCACGATGCCTGCTCCGCCGCCACCACCACCACCACCTCCCCCTCCTGCGACGGGGGGGCCCTCCTCCTCCTCCTCCCCCTCCAGACAGTCTTCCGTCGAGGCCGGGAAGGCAGAGGTTAAGGACAGGGTAAGTTGTCTGTTCGGTGCTGCGGCTTACAATTGCCAATGCTCCGATGTCGTCATCGACGTTGCACATGGCTGACAGTCAGCACAGAGCGCACTATTGCAGGATATCACCAAGGGAACGAAGCTGAGGAAGACGGTGACAAATGACAGATCCGCTCCTATGATTGAAAAGAAATCGAGCGGTCCGGCCATTGGTGGAGCACCTCCTGTTCCAGGCATGCCCAAACCGCCAGGAGGACTGGCGCCTCCAGTGCCTGGAGGAAACCGGTTGCGAAGCAATAGTGAAGGGCGTTCTGGGGGCGATGACAGCAGCTCTAGTGTTCCGTCAGCCCCCCAGCTGGGCGGTTTATTTGCGGGCGGCATGCCGAAGCTGCGCAGTCGAGGAGGGGTAGATACTGGTGCGAATCGAGACGCAGCATATCTGTCGGATTCAGAGGCTTCTCGGCCAGATCCTCCAGCCGCGTCAGCGCCGAAACCACCTACAGCACGTCCGCCTCCTGTGCCGTCTTCTACAGAATCACCATCGGCGCCGCCAGTCAACCCGTTGGTCGCCAACCTGCGCAAACCGCCTCCAAAACCCGCGTCGAGGCCATCATCGACTGTGTCGACTACGTCCACGAAGACGGCTCCCGAGGTTCCTCCACGAGCACCACCACCTGTCCCTGGAACAAAAGCCCCGCCCCCTCCGCCTGTCAGGAAGCCCTCTGCTCCCGCTCCTCCACCCCCGCCTTCTTCTGCCAGTCCTGCTCCTCCGTCTGCTCCTCCTCCTCCGCCATCGAGCTCTGCTCCAAAGCCTCCGGCTTCTGGTCCACCACCGCCACCAGCTCCTCCAGCGTCAGCTCCCCAGCCGCCAAATGGCGCACAGGCTGCTGCCGCCTCGATAGCAGTGCAGGCTGCAAGAAACGCGTTTGGAAATTCGCATGCGCCTTCTGCTCCTCCACCTCCGCCGCCCACCTCATCAGCGCCATCGGCACCTGCAGCACCACCACCTCCTCCTCCTACCTCTGCTCCATCTCCCCCCAGCGCCCCTCCTGCACCTCCAGCTGCGCCTCCACCGCGTCCGGCTACCTCATCTCGGCCTGGGTCACATGATGACCATCAGGCCAAATCAGGGCGGTCGACACTCGACCCAAGTGCTTACACACTCATCAATGGCGGATCCTCTCCGTCGGCGAGTCCCCGGACGTCTGGGATTATTCGAATCGAAGATAACCGGTTCAAGTTTCAAGATGAAAGCCTGTTTCCCAAGCCACGTCCCTTTTCAGGCGGGGTTCGAATGTACCGTGCAGGAAGGGGCAGCAGTGTGCCGCTAGATTTGAATTCTCTAGGCTGAGGTGGCGAGCAGTTGAGTTTGAGCAGGTCGTGCTGTCAGTGTTACATATGCAATAGGTGAATTATTAAGATACGCCCTTGTTTATCTGGTTTTCGCTGGGAGCGTTTCATACCTGTTAAGTGTACTTTGTTTCTATTTTTTTTTTTCTTTTTCTTTTCTTTGCGACTGGTTCGTTCAACGTGGAATACCCGACGTCGATGGTTTCATTGATTGTGGTTTCATTGATTGTGATTTCGTGTGTTCTTCCATATTGTCTAGGTGCAGGTCATAGACAAGAGAAAATACTAAAAAGTTTTCCAAAAGCGATAGAATGACTAGTAGGGTCCTCGAATTATTTCTTTTGGTGAAATTGGACAAATAGTGTCTGTCCTTTTTGATACCCAGGTGGATATTTATTATAATACACGGTGTCCATCCAATTGAAAAAAACAAACAAACTGTCCAATCCATATTCATCCACACTCCTCTCCAGCAACCCATAAAGAAAACAAAAAAAGGTAAAAAGAAAACCATTAGACCTCTATATCCCTTGCCTGCCTCTTTAGCCATTTCCAAGGTATTATATTAATCATGTCTCAGGTTTTTCGATAGGTTTTCATGGCTTACAAGTGCCAACCAGGAGCAAAAACCCAGAGCTCCAGCCATTTTCGGACTGGTCGTGACCGTCAGGTGAATGATAATAGACAACCATCAACCGTTTCTGTCCTGTCCTGTCTGGATTGATTCGAGAAATCGTGTATGATGGTGGCCAATGGGCAATGGTAACACAGAATTCCGTCCGTCATGACTGGCATACGTCTGCTGCCGAAGCCGAGCGAAGTTGCCCACAAGAGAGATATCATAATCCACACCATTATCCCCTCCAATATTTTTTCTTTCGTGTTGTTGTCGCCGCCGTCTCCCCCCTCTCATATATTCTTAGTACTCCTAATAACCTCCCCCTTAACCTTAGACCAGTCAATATCAGCATCAATCGCCTCATCCACCTCGCCGCAAATCACCACATTGTCGCCGCGGATCAGGTACAAGCCATGCTCGATCTCGGAGCTGGGCTCCGGGTCGTCCGGGGTGCGGATGATGCGCTCGACCGTCTGCGAGAGGACGAGGTTGGTCAGCTGGTCCGTGGAGAGGAGCGTGCCCAGTAGTGTTCGGCCGTCGACTGTTATGACGAGGATCTTTTCTTGGGAGGTGTTAGTAAAATGAAAATTTCTGACAATGGGGTTTTGTAGGGGAATTGGTATTGTTGAAAACTCACTGTTTATGTACGAGCTGAGAGACATGGTGACCACGCTGGCTGCACTGCAATGGAGGAAGCCAGACAGTCAATCGAGAAGCAAGCAAACAAGCAAGCAGCTGTGCGAGCTGGACTGAGCTGGGCTGAGCTCTGGCGTAGAGGATAGGATGGGAGCCTTAGTAGCTCTCCGTCCTCCCGCGGCACGGCACGCGAGGGGAAGCAGCAGCGCAATATCCAAGGAGCGACGACGATGAACGATGAGGGAGAAGAACAGCTGTTTTTTTTTCTCTCCTCTGCTGATTGGAGCGTGGAGAGTGGGAGGTTAAGCGGTGCTATGAGATAGTATTTTTATTTTACTCCAACCAAAGTCGCGGGGAAAAAACAACCAAGCGCAACTTGACTGCTGCCGTGGCCAAGCATCTCTCGATCTGTCCGCCCCGCCTTGCTGCATCGACTCAGTTAAGCTCGTCGCCCACAAGGCTGAATTAATTACGACATGCGGAGATTCCTCTGCCAGCCGCTTTTCTTTATCTGCGGAGATCATTCTCTTTTCCGGAACGCAGCTTCAGCCAGATTCCCTGGTCTATCGGCCTACAGATCTAATCAACCATCGCATCTATATATATATATCCACCCTAGCTATTCAAGCAATTCAATGAGACCAGTCTGCAGCGCCAGAAACCACGCTTTATGCCAGGACTGCTGGACATCCTGTACCCCTGGCCGGTGATTTCGATCCTCATCTCTCACCTCGGCGTCGGCGACCTGCTGCAGCTCTCCCGCGTAAACACGCAGTGCAGAGCCGCTCTACATGGGTTCCCTCTTCCCGCCGCGCCTCCTGCTCCAGAACCAGCAGCGCCGGTGGTGCGCCCTGATATCTTCGTCGGGCTGCATCGGACGCCCTACTGGACGGCCCTGAAGGCGATTGCCCAGATGCGTTGCTCGGAGCCAAATCACCGTAAAGGCAAGCAGACTAATCTGTGTCGGTATTGTTCTATGCCGGTGTGTGACGCGTGCATTGTCAAGGTGAGTCTTGTCTCCTCGTAAAAGGGCAAATTCTTCTTCTTTGCATATGCAGGACAATTTGTGAAATAATTTTTTTTAAAAAAAAAACCTCATAGGAATCCTTTGCACAAAACACGAGCGCCTACCGCACCCGCACCCGTCATCTCTGCATCGACTGCTGGGCCACTGGAACGCCTCACCAGGGCCGCAATTTCCGGCATCCGCCCGAGATGTCGACGTCGTACAATTTCCCTCCCGGCCAAGGGGACTTTTGCCGCTGCACGGCCGGCGACGGATGGATCTGCGCCCGCTGTCGCAGGATGCAGTGTGAGGACGTGGAGGCGCAGCGACAGCGGTGCGTCGGCGAGGGGTGTACCAATGCGGCTGGGGTCGACAAGGAGCGTCGCAGCGTTGTCTCTGGTGCGATCTACCGGTGTCCGGGGTCATGATGACGCGCACGGAGAGATGGCAGGAATATGGACAGCGTTATGTCAACTCGCCGCGTTACTTTTGACCAGCAGTCGATGCTACGGATTAAGGTATGATGAGCTTTCTATACATATATACAGATATGGCATGCTATCTGAACAGTAGCAGCAGTACAGGATATAAGTTATTTGACTCTAATGAGCATTGGCCTGTATAGTATACTCACATCCACACTCGACAAGAATTCTGTGATTTATATCCCTGCAAATAATATATCACCGGGTAAACAATACAAAACCTGTAAAAAATGTTTAAAAAAAATAAAATAAATAAAAGCAATTGACAAGGGTGGGATTCGAACCCACGCCCCTTTCGAGACACGGACACTCCACTACCTAGTCTAGTAGACAGTGAAGCTTTTCGGGCTCAGTCAATACCTGAACCGTGCGCCTTGGACCGCTCGGCCACCTTGCCAATATTGATAGCTGCCTGGGCTGGACATGGAAAATGATGCAGTAGGAGCATTGGGTGTGGATTGATGTACTTCAATATTAATGTTAGTCATGGCTGAGCAATGTGAAGTCGAAAATCGATGTGTGCTCTCATTTGAAGTTAAAATTGTTCTCATCCGATTGGTGCATAGTACTGCAAGGTTATCGGTTGCTGGAACTTATTATCATGTGATGCCACCACTCTTTGACTTGCTTCCGTTCGTTGGGTTAGAATGGGAGTCTTATTAGGAAGCCTTCTAACCATACTGTAGGCTCCCTACAAAAAGATATGCAAAGCGCTTAGGCTTTAGGGCCCTCTACACCTTTGAAAATATGTTGTTAATATATCACCAAGCCAACGATATTAAAAATATCAAGGAAAAAAATGACAAGGGTGGGATTCGAACCCACGCCCCTTTCGAGACACGGAAACACTAACTTTACAAAGTTACCTGAACCGTGCGCCTTGGACCACTCGGCCACCTTGCCTTTGCTCTTAGTAATCAACCATGGTAAAATTTTAAGAACCGGCCTATGGCACTAACATTAAAGTATCCAATCACTTAGGGAGTACTCTGTATTATAGTTGAATTTCCTTCCCTCCTGTCTTGTCTTTATCTCCTTTTGTTAACACCACAACTGTAATTAGGATATGTTGCTACTAGCCAATTGCTCATTGGAGGGAGACTATGAAGAATGAAGCCTTAGAATCGCTGTATTTCTCTCCTGAGCGGCTGGTGAGCGTTTTATATAGATCCGCGGTCACGTGGCCTGGGATGACCCCTGTTGCAACAGGATATGCGGAGTAAATACTCCGTAAGAATTAAAACGCAAGAGAAAGAAGTACTAATCAATAATGCCATAAGGGCACCATTATCCCATAAATAATTCATTAGGCTCTCCATCACGTAAACTTGACCATGAAGGAGGCCGGAAAGCGATGGTACGGTGACTGCAGCGGACTAGGTGATTAAAACAAATCTCGCATCCAGTGTCATTCTTACTGACCAGATTCACTAATTATTGGATGCCCTGATCGCTCGATACCCAACTGTGCCTGTCTGCAAGCCCATGCACCAACCAGGCGCCGTGGCGCAGCACAGGCTCGCGATGGGCGAGAGGAGAAGCAGTGGCTGTCCTGCAGCCACGCTGATGTGCAGCACGTTCTGGCTGCAGGAGAAGAATAAATAAATAGCATGGCGTGGCTATTAATATGAAGATAATATTGTCTTCGTCTCTCCTTGTAAGTTCATACAACTCCATCGCCCCCATCTTAGCGCGGGCTAGCGGGCGGGCCAAGGCCGCTAGAGCACTGTCACCACGGCGCCGTGGTTCCTCTTCCCCTTGCCGGCCGGCTATCCTCTCTCACGCTTCACCCCCTCGTTCGTCGACAGCGACGACGACTTCATCTCACCTCAATTCCAGTTCCTGCCCGCTTGCGGCCTCGATCGTGTTCTCTCCTCTCCAGAATCTGTCTCGCTGAGCTGTCGTCCTCCGTCCTGCTGCCGTTTCGGGAACGAGCGCCCACCGGTCCGCATTCCGGACCTCGGGGCAGGCCTGCCAGACCAGACCCGGCCTGGAGCGAAGCAATCCGCATTCAGAATCAAATGTTGATGTCGTCACGGTGCACCTCTGGACCTGACCCCTACCCCGCGCCCCTCCGACTCCTCGTCGTCTCGTGAACAGCCGTCTCCGATGCTGCCCGCACACCGCACGGGTTTGGGAGAGCGTTGGATACCACGGACACTTCTGTCCTGAATCCTGACACTCCGCAAGAGAGCCTCTCGCCATGTGGCTGTTCCGCGGCGTGCAGTCGGCCATCTTCTACTACGCGACCTGTACGCCATGTGCCACTGCCGGCGACCGCAGACGACGCAAGAGGGAAGCTGCCCGAACCCAGCGAGAGAAGGCCCGCGAGGCCGCCATTGTCACCGACCAGCCCCGAGTCTTTCCCCAACCGACCCCTTTCAGCACAAACGCAGGATGGGCCGAGGAAATCGCCCTCGGTCCTGGGCCCCCTGCTCGCCGAGGCGGGCACCGGCCGGCCAACAATCGTTCTGCACACCACCTGGACGGGACGGCACCTCGACTGTCCGGCATGTCCAGCAGCACCTTGGGAGACGAATCTCCGTCTCGAAAGGAGAAGGGAGGACTGGGCGATCGGCTGCATTGGATGCGATATCAGCGGGAAGATGAGCCGCTTTGGGGCCAGGAGGAGATGCAGGAAGTACGAGGGTCGTCGGTAGGCATCTCCGGCCGGGGACGGGCCGAAACGAACCATTCGAGCCGATATTACATCGCCAAAGTGCCTCCGGTGAATGACCTGCATCCGCCGATTGTGAGCGGTCCCACCAGTCGAGCCGAAGTACGATGGATGCTGCAGCCGCCTCCGCCAGCTCGAGTCATGGCGGGGAAGGAGAGATATTCGTCGGTGCGTAGCAGTCGGGAGGGCAGTATACGAAGGAAGAACGGGCATGGCCGGGTTTCTGATACAGGGGAGGAAGACGAGGCGCAAGTTGGACAGTCGAGCCAACCTGTGGAGCAGACGAAGGCATCTGCGGAAATCAAACCCAATTCGAGTCGGAAACCCGACAAAAAAGGCCATCGGCCTCCCCCTATTACCGTCGTCGGCGGACACCGCACGATGGACAGCCAGGAGGATGACTCGCCTCGACGAGTACCACTGGCGACGATTGCGTCGCACTCGAAATCGGCGGCATATGACGAGTTCCATTTGCAGATATCGTCCGCGATGAATTCGCGGTCGAATTCGCTGTCCAGCCTGGGATCGCCGGCCGAGTCGCTGCCGTGGACGGAGACGCTATATTCGCGTCCAGGCTCGAAAGCAACGGATGACAGCGGCAAGGCGTTTCACTCGTCGCTCTCCAATGTGATTAGCCCTGTGCATCGCGGCCACAAGAAGGTGGAGGCCGTGCATGTTGAGATTAGCGAGGAGGAAGGACAGATACAGGAGATCCGGCCATGGCGGTGGAGCTTCGACATATAGCAAGAACAACAACCTTGACAACATTAACCTTGACAACATTAACAACCTCAACAACCAGCAACCAGCAACCAGCAACCTTAAACAACCTACAACCTCAACAACCTACAACCTTAACAACCTTCTACAAACAAACAATTTCTCCATTGCTTCAAACTTGTGCATGGTTGTGCTGGAGAGGACATGGCCGTCACATGACATAGAGGATAGCATCTCGAGCGCAATTCGCAGGACGATACTCGAGATGCAGTCAATGGCAGGCCCAGACCAGGTCACAGACGGAATGATCCTATCTCGAGACTAGCACTGACTGCTAGGTCCATCTTT